TTGATGATGGCAATTTGCATATACTCCAGAATGTTATGAAGAGTGATCAGATTAATTGCAAAGTCCCTCTTTGCCATGAAAATGAACTTAATCCCCCCCCCAAAAAAATGTCAGACCAGCTGCCATCATGTCAGTGATTCTCTCGTTAACACAGGTGAGAGTGTTGACGAGGACAAGGCTGGAGATCACTCTGCATGCTGATTGAGTTAGAATAACAGACTGGAAGCTTTAAAAGGAAGGTGGTGCTTGAAATCATTGTTCTTCCTCTGTTAACCATGGTTATCTGCAAGGAAACACGTGCCGTCATCATTGCTTTGCACAAAAAGGGCTTCACAGGCAAGGATATTGCTGCTAGTAAGATTGCACCTAAATCAACCATTTATCGGATCATCAAGAACTTCAAGGAGAGAGGTTCAATTGTTGTGAAGAAGCCTTCAGGGCACCCAAGAAAGTCCAGGACCGTCTCCTAAAGCGCCAGGACCGTCTCCTAAAGTTGATTCAGCTGCGGGATCGGGGCACCACCAGTGCAGAGCTTGCTCAGGAATGGCAGCAGGCAGGTGTGAGTGCATCTGCACGCACAGTGAGGCGAAAACTTTTGGAGGATGGCCTGGTGTCAAGAAGGGCAGCGAGGAAGCCACATCTCTCCAGGAAAAACATCAGGGACAGACTGATATTCTGCAAAAGGTACAGGGATTGGACTGCTGAGGACTGGGGTCAAGTCATTTTCTCTGATGAATCCCCTTTCCGATTGTTTGGGGCATCCGGAAAACACCTTGTCCGGAGAAGACAAGGTGAGCGCTACCATCAGTCCTGTGTCATGCCAACAGTAAAGCATCCTGAGACCATTCATGTGTGGGGTTGCTTCTCAGCCAAGGGAGTGGGCTCACTCACAATTTTGCCTAAGAACACAGCCATGAATAAAGAATGGTACCAACACATCCTCCGAGAGCAACTTCTCCCAACCATCCAAGAACAGTTTGGTGACGAACAATGCCTTTTCCAGCATGATGGAGCACCTTGCCATAAGGCAAAAGTGATAACTAAGTGGCTCGGGGAACAAAACATCGACATTTTGGATCCATGGCCAGGAAACTTCCCAGACCTTAATCCCATTGAGAACTTGTGGTCAATCCTCAAGAGGCGGGTGGACAAACAAAACCCCATAAATTCTGACAAACTCCAAGCATTGATTATGCAAGAATGGGCTGCCATCAGTCAGGATGTGGCCCAGAAGTTAATTGACAGCATGCCAGGGAAGATTGCAGAGGTCTTGAAAAAGAAGGGTCAACACTGCAAATATTGACTCTTTGCATAAACTTAATGTAATTGTCAATAAAAGCCTTTGACACTTATGGAATGCTTGTAATTATACTTCAGTATACCATAGTAACATCTGACAAAAATATCTAAAAACACTGAAGCAGCTAACTTTGAAGACCAATACTTGTGTCATTCTCAAAACTTTTGACCACGACTGTACAGTGTTATAATGATGTGCAAATAGTTAAAGTACAAAAGGGATAATAAAAAACATAAATATAGGTTGTGTTTGTTTGTTCTTCACTGGTTGCCCTTTTCTTGTGGCAACAGGTCACAATTATTGCTGCTGTGATGGCACACTGGGGTATTTCACCCAATAGATATGGGAGTTTATCAAAATTGGATTTGTGTGGGTCTGTGTAATCTGAGGGAAATATGTGTCTCAAATATGGTCATACATTTGGCAGGAGGTTAGGAAGTGCAGCTCAGTTTCCACCTCATTTTGTGGGCAGTGTGCACATAGCCTGTCTTCTCTTGAGAGCCAGGTCTGCCTACGGCAGCCTTTCTCAATAGCAAGGCTATGCTCACTGAGTCTGTACATAGTCAAAGCTTTCCTTAAGTTTGGGTCAGTCACAGTGGTCAGGTATTCTGCCACTGTGTACTCTCTGTTCAGGGCCAAATAGCATTCTAGTTTTTTGTTAATTCTTTCCAATATGTCAAGTAATTATCTTTATCTTTTTGTATTTGGTTGGGTCTAATTGTGTTGCTGTCCTGGGGCTCTGTGGGGTCTGTTTGTGTTTGTGAACAGAGCCCCAGGACCAGCTTGCTTAGGGGACTCTGCTCCAGGTTCATCTCTCTGTAGGGGATGGCTTTGTTATGGAAGGTTTTGGAATCTCTTCCTTTTAAGTGGTTATAGAATTTAACAGCTCTTTTCTGGATTTTGATAATTAGCGGGTATCGGCCTAATTCTGCTCTGCATGCATTATTCAGTGTTTTACGTTGTACACAGAGGATATTTTTGCAGAATTCTGCATGCAGAGTCTCAATTTGGTGTTTGTCCCATTTTGTGAATTATTGGTTGGTGAGCGGACCCCAGACCTCACAACCATAAAGGGCAATGGGTTCTATAACTGATTCAAGTATTTTTAGCCAGATCCTAATTGGTATGTCAAATTGTATGTTCCTTTTGATGGCGTAGAAGGCCCATATCTATTGGGTGAAATACCACAGTGTTCAATCACAGCAGCAAGATTTGTGACCTGTTGCCACAAGAAAAGGGCAACCAGTGAAGAACAAACACCATTGTAAATACAACCCATATTTATGTTTATATATTTTCCCATTTGTACTTTAACTATTTGCACATCGTTACAACACTGTATATAGACATAATATGACATTTGAAATGTCTTTATTCTTTTGGAACTTCTGAATGTTGTTAATATTTATTGTTAATTTCACTTTTGTTTATTTCACTTTTGTTTACTATCTACTTCACTTGCTTTGGCAATGTTAACATACGTTTCCCATGCCAATAAAGCCATTGAATTGAATTGAATTGAATTGAATTGAGAGCTGGCAGAGAAACACAGAGGAATGAACTGCAGCCTTGAAGAACAACTCTCTCGCTCTCTCTCGGTTAGGCCGTTGTCATTGGTGACAGATGGGTGGAGATAGTGGAGAGAGGATTTGAACGCCCCTTGCCTCTCTCCATAGGACCCCTTGGAACCCACTAATGTAATAATGCTTTTCCCTTTTAGGCACCAGGGGATTAGACTCTTACAATTAACAAAGTGATTCTTAAAAGAGACGTACACAGGCACAGCTATAGGACAGTTAAGCAGGGAGGCTAAACACAGGCACAGCTATAGGACAGTTAAGCAGGGAGGCTAAACACAGGCACAGCTATAGGACAGTTAAGCAGGGAGGCTAAACACAGGCACAGCTATAGGACAGTTAAGCAGGGAGGCTAAACACAGGCACAGCTATAGGACAGTTAAGCAGGGAGGCTAAACACAGGCACAGCTATAGGACAGTTAAGCAGGGAGGCTAAACACAGGCACAGCTATAGGACAGTTAAGCAGGGAGGCTAACATTTAGGCGTACACTTGAAGCAGTGTATTATTATTTGCCTGATGTATTAATATCTGTGTATCCCCAACTATCTATGACTTATTATACTGGGGTAGAAGCCTAACTCTCTTCTAAACTACCTTATAAGGAGGTTTAGCTAGCCTTGGAGGAGGGGGGGAGGAGGGGGGCGAGAGAGTTGTTCCTCAAGGTTGCAGTTCATTCCTGTGTGTTTGTCTCTTTCTCTCTATATCTCTATCTCTATCTCTGTCTCTGTCTCTGTCTCTGTCTCTGTCTTTCTCTCTCTGTCTCTCTCTCTCTCTCTCTGTCTCTGTCTTTCTGTCTCTGTCTCTGTCTTTCTGTCTCTGTCTTTCTCTCTCTCTGTCTCTGTCTTTCTCTCTCTCTGTCTCTGTCTTTCTCTCTCTCTGTCTCTGTCTTTCTCTCTCTCTGTCTCTGTCTTTCTCTCTCTCTGTCTCTGTCTTTCTCTCTCTCTGTCTCTCTTCTCTGTCTCTCTTCTCTGTCTCTCTCCTCTCTCTCTCTCTGTCTCTCTCCTCTCTCTCTCTCTCGCATAATGATTAGGCTATCTTCTAGGGAGAGAGAGTCCTTAAGTGAATTTCCTTGCAGTAGAGACACTAAAGGTAATGAATTATAGCGACCCCCGGGTGCTCTGGTGATAATGCAGTAGTTTGTTTCATACTCATGATGTTATCACCCATATAGGCCTAATACGGCTTTGCTTTCAACACCTTTTTAAAGCAACGAGGACAGTAGAGTTGCGTACGTGTTTGGCCCATTTCCAGCTAGTCTAATACTCTTCATAGTGCACTGTTTTGAGTTCTCCAAGGTTGTTGTTTGTTTTAGTGATTTTGAATATGTGTAATCATCAATCCATTTAGGCAGACTGTACTTCCTCTTATTTAAAGTCAGTCCCCTTGGCTACACGTCAGTTTTAGTGAGAAACTAATATGAAGTTGAGTTCAAATAAACCATAACTGCCGACTCTAAGCAGCAGTATAATTATACAGAGCCATGATTACATGGGACTCCTTCCCATCTCATACAGACCAAGTGAACAGCAAACCTGGTTTAAAAAAACAACAAATAAGGCCTCTCCCCCATCTGACCTACTTTTTGTGTGCATGTACTGACATGTATCTGATAGATACACAGACACACACACACAGACACACAGACACACACACACACACACACACACTCTTTATTATTCTTAATTAACACAAAAAAAATTTTGTATCTGTAAATGTGTGTCTTTTATTTGTAGTTTTATATATACATGTATAAGTCAGTAATGTCTATGTTAATGTTTTTAAATGTATGTCAATTGTAAAGTATTTCTGTCTGTAATGTCTTTTTTCGTTATGTGTCGGACCCCAGGAAGACAAGTTGTCGGCATTGGCTAATGGGGATCCTAGTAATAAGAAATAAAACATTAAAGTAGGCCTCTTCAACTAATAAGTAATTGATCTCTGCAGCTTGTTGTTGTGCTGGTTGTCCTCTGTTGACCAGACGCACACACACACACACGCACAGACACAAAAAAAACACACGCACGCACACACACACACACTCCTCTCCTGAACCCTTCCTCCAGGCTGATTTGTGTCTCGCTTGTCATCAACTAATCAATCTCCAGATCTCCAGACCTCATTATGATGGGAGGATCCAGAGTCCGAGTCAGAACAAGTGAAGGGAGATGGACTGTAAACAATAGGATTTTAATCTGAAACGTGGCACTAAAACTGCCACCAGAAGATTACGTGTACAACCACACACACACACAAAGTCCCAATGCTAAGCTGAGACCCTCGCCCCATGGCGTTTATAAGTCAGTAAGGATGTGTGGGTGTGGTTGTACACGTAATCTTCTGGTGGCAGTTTTAGTGCCACGTTTCCCCTCTAGAGATTAGAGAGTAAGATGGAGTTGGAACTTGGAGGAAGCAGCAGTTAACACACACACAAATGTGTTGGTACCGGCCAGAGCAGAACAGGCCATGCTGTAGAAACCTCAACAGCTGGGCGTGTGCTTACGACAGAGGAACTCTGACAGAATGGGAACAGTAGTGTCTCTCTTTGTGTCTCTCTTTTATGTCTCTCTAGGACAAAAGACAGTCAGATTCTGTCCCATGGTGACTTCAAACGAGATGCCCACAGCTGTACTTGACAAACTGTCCATCTCTCCCTGTTCTACTTTCTAAATGTCATCCTACCACATAAAACCTGCAAGTCATTCAGAGACAAGTCCAAGCTGCTGAAAATGTACACAGTCTGTCTGTGATGTTATTTTACTGTTGGCAGGATTTTCATTTGTGCGGGTGGTAGAATATGAGTTAAGACTTGCAGGATTTGGGTTGATCTGTTCCTCGCTTCTCACCAGATTTGAGCTGTGTGTGTGTGTGTGTGTGTGTGTGTGTGTGGTGCGTGCGAGGTGTGTGTGTGGTGCGTGCGAGGTGTGTGTGTGTGGTGCGTGCGAGGTGTGTGTGTGTGGTGCGTGCGAGGTGTGTGTGTGTGTGTGTGTGTGTGTGTGTGTGGTGCGTGCGAGGTGTGTGTGTGTGTGTGTGTGTGTGTGTGGTGCGTGCGAGGTGTGTGTGTGGTGCGTGCGAGGTGTGTGTGTGTGGTGCGTGCGAGGTGTGTGTGTGTGGTGCGTGCGAGGTGTGTGTGTGTGTGTGTGTGTGTGTGGTGCGTGCGTGCGAGGTGTGTGTGTGTGTGTGTGTGGTGCGTGCGAGGTGGTGTGTGTGTGTGTGTGTGTGTGTGTGTGGTGCGTGCGAGGTGTGTGTGTGTGTGTGTGTGTGTGTGGTGCGTGCGAGGTGTGTGTGTGTGTGTGTGTGTGTGTGTGTGTGGTAAAAGCAGTGAGTGTACTGGCACACATTCAGAGAAGAAATGCTGCCTTCCTCATACTGTGATGGGAGGTGGGAACACGCACACACTCTGTCTCTAACGCGCACACACACACACGCCCATCACACACACTGACACACACACACACACACACACACACGCCCATCACACACACGCCCATCACACACACTGACACACACACACACACGGCATGGTACAGCATCACAACAGTATGGCACGCCATGCCAGGCAGCATCACAGATGGATTATGGGAGTGGATCAGATCTCAATTAACTGCTAGGTTCTATGGCTCATCCTCATCCCGTCTTTATTGAGCGGCTTTAGTGCTGCTGTCCTCTCCTGGCTCTGACTGTGATTAAAACTCAGTGGATAATGACAACTCTGTTAAAGGACCAGTGCAGCCATTTTTATCTCTTTCAAATCGTTTAAACAAAACAACTAAACAAAAATAGCTTCTTAGCAGAGAGCAATTTCTCAAGCAAGAATTTAGCTAGGACTGTCAGAGTGGTTTGAGTGGTGAGGGGGAAACTGAAAATTAGCTGTTATTGGCAGAGAGGTTTGGAACTCTCTTTCTTATTGGTCTATTAACTAAATACCGCATGGTGATGTCACCATGGAAGGTCAAAACTCCATCCCACCAAAACAGGCTGAAATTTCAGGTGGTCTTTTCAACCAGCTCTTACACTACGAACATCATTTTCACAGTATTATTCCAACCTCATAGTGTGGAAATATAGAGTATATATAAAACACAGGAAAATTACGTTTTTGACTGCACTGGACCTTTTAACCTCTTTTTTTCAATTTTCGCCTAAAACCTAACCTGAAGCAAGGATATGCATATTCTTGAAACCATTTGAAAGGAAACACTTTGAAGTTTGTGGAAATGTGAAATTAATGTAGGAGAATATAACACATTAGATCTGGTAAAAGATAATACAAACAATAAAACATGCATTTTTTTATCATCTTTGAAATGCAAGAGAAAGGCCACTATATAATATTGCAGTTTAGGCACAATTTAGATTTTGCCCACTAGATGGCAGCAGTGTGTGTGCAAAGTTTCAGATTGATCCAGTGACGCATTGTAATACTGGACTATTTTGTATCAAGTCTGCCTAAATGTGCCGAATTGGTCAATTGATACATTTTCAAGTACATAACTATAGAGAACATACAAAAATGATATGGTAATACAAAATGTAAGTTTACACACTCCCAGGAATGTCATACATGATGGATCATTAACTTATACACTAACTTTCACACATCTAGATGGCCGGGCGGGGTGGGTGGGTGTGGAGCCAGAGACGGCAGGGGTTCAAACTGTAGAACCCAGTTCCTACATTTTGAATATAAAAATGGATTTTATCAAACAAAACTATGCTACATTTTATCGTTGGGACCCTTAGGATGACAAATCAGAGCAATATTACTGAATGTAAGTACATTATTTACCTTCAGAGGTGATGTATCAAACCAGTTGCCGTGATACGTTTTTTGTTGTTGTGCACTCTCCTCAAACAATAGCATGGTATTTTTTCACTGTAATATCTACTGTAAATTAGACAGTGCAGTTAGATTAATAAGAATTTAAGCTTTCTGCCCATATACAGTAAGACATGTCTATGTCCTGGAAAGTTTGCTTTTACTTACAACAGTCATGCTAATTACATTAGCACACGTTAGCTCAACCGTCCCGTATACGGGACACCGATCCTGTAGAGGTTAACAGGCCCCTTCCTCTCTTCAGTTAACCTGTCAGGCCTTTCTTTCTGTCACAAACTCACCAAGTCTTTGGGGGAATACATGAAAGGAAGATATTGAACAGAAGAGGAGGAGTCCTCTGAGACATTTTAGTTGACAACAGAGATGCACAGTAGTCACTCAAACTAACCATATGCCTGTTTCTGGTGTGAATGCTGCAGTCTCTCACCATTTAGGACTAGCTTTGCTAGTATTGCACTGTGAAAAACATAAATAGAATCCTTCCATGAGATGTCTCGGTACTGGGGGTCTTCCATCCTCTTGGCTCAGATCATGGTTCATCAACACACGGCCCACGGGCCAAAAGTTAGTTTTTGGACAATCACAAGGAATTCAGCAAAAAATATTTTTCTGTTCGGGAAATCTGTTCCCAAGTATTCCCACAAATAAACAAAAATACACACGATGGTGTCTAAATGTAATCAATGTATGAAATGATTGTGATTTTCAAATGCAATCTCTTTTTGGACCTAGTTGTGGTCAATTTGCAATGTACAAATTATTATAATTATTTTCCGGCCCCCCGACCATTCACTCCGACAAACATCGTCCCGCGGCTGAATGTAGTTGCCTACTCCTGCCTTAAGATGAGATTGAACTGAGAACGCTAACCCTCCTCTCCCCATCTCACCTATTTTAATTCTGGAGTGAATCCATCGACCATAACCTCTCTCTCCCTGTCTCCTCCAGGATGTCCGCGGCCGGTGGGTGTGCAGCATGGGGAGATGGTGAACCAGACTGAGGCTAACCGAGGCTCCTCCCCCCCTGGTACCCTGCTGTCCTATAGCTGTGAGCCAGGCTACGCCCCCGATGGACCCACCACCATCACCTGTACCACCGCTGGAACATGGTCCCACCAGCCTCCACACTGCATAAGCACTGATGGTTAGCAACACACACACGTTGCATACGAACCAACGGGGGGGAGATATATATACAACACACACACACACTGAACCAATGATTAGTAGTAGTAAAACACACACTCACCATTACTTGTCCTTCCTTACACATCTTATTGGCTTTTTCTAATCTGCATTGATTAGAATACTTTTCTGACTTCTCTCTCTGACTCTCTCTCCCCTCCCCTCTCCCCCCCCCCCCCCAGTGTGTCCCCCCCCCACGGAGCCAGAGAACGGAGGGTACAGGTGCCACCCGTCCCCCTGCCACCGCCTCACCCAGAAGACCGTGATAGAGTACTTCTGTGACGAGGGCTACGCTCTGAAGGGGGACTACAAATTCCTCACCTGTGAGAACGGGGAGTGGGACGCTCCCATGCAGATCACCTGCCGCCTCAGCCAAGGTTAAGACCCAGAGTTACTACTCCTCATATCGTACCTGTTGTAATGTAGACCTTTACCAGACCACTGTTCTGCCTGAGACACGGATTTGACTGTGAGGCAATTATTTAAAAACCTATTACATTTCAAACTCAATTGACAAAAGAATCCAAAAGTATTGTCCACTGCCAGTCCTGTGTGTCCTCTCTTCTGACTGTCTCTCTCTCTCTCTCTCTCTCTCTCTCTCTCTCTCTCTCTCTCTCTCTCTCTCTCTCTCTCTCTCTCTCTCTCTCTCTCTCTCTCTCTCTCTCTCTCTCTCTCTCTCTCTCTCTGTCAATTCAATGTGTTATTGGAAAGTAGATATTCGTATTGCCAAAGGAACAATCCTAAACCTCTTTCTCTCTCTCCTTCTCAGATAAGGAGCCGCGGTCTCCGTTGACGATGCCAGCTCTGTCCATCGTAGCGTCCACAGCCTCCTCTGTAGCTCTCCTCCTGCTGTTGGTGGTGCTGTTCGTTCTCCTGCAGCCCAAGCTCAAGTCCTTCCACCACAGCAGGTACACACCTTTACATCTGCGTGGATATTTTGCCTCCATTTTGGGCCAGTCAGATCCAGTTTGGCGAAGACAAAACTGGTTTTACAAGTTTAACAGGCCGAGCAAATGAAAATACCGTCAAAGTGGAAAGCTGCTGTAGAAATAGTTCAACAGTTAACCAACAGGTGTGCATATCGCTAACAGCCGTACCGTCTCTGGGTCTGTGATTTAACAGTCGGTACTCATTAGATCTAATGTTAGTAGGCAGCCCTGTTGATTGTGTTGTCAGGCCTGGGGGGCTTTGAGGCATGGTGGCATGCATGATGAGTTCCACAACCACCTCTAGTCTACACAGGACAGGAACATCACACAGCACCGCACCACCATAAATACTGGGTGGCGTGCAATATCCTAAATCTTTCTCTCTCCCTCTCTCTCTCTTATACACGCCTCCCTTCTTTCTATTACATTCTCTCCCATCTGCTCCTCCTCTCTCTCCCTCTAGGCGTGAGCAGGGTGTCTCAGGCCAGCCAGCCTCCATCGTGGTGGAGGGGGTCCAGGTGGCCCTCCCCTCCTATGAGGAGGCCGTGTACGGCAGCGGCGGTGCCTCTCTCCCCCCTCCTCCAGAGTCCCGGGTCCAGATCGTCCTGTCTGAGGGGCCCCAGGGGGCCGAGGGCGGTGCAGAGATGCTGGGGCCCAGCAGTAGATCCCAGTCCCACCATCACAGAGACGGAGAGAGAGACAGTGATACAGAGCTGTGCCTCCCTTCCACCTCCTCCTTCCCTTCATCCTGCCGTCACTCAGAGACGGTACTAGTCCACCAGGCCCCCTCCTGCTCTTCCTCTTCGTCGTCGTGGGTTACGGCGCATGGAGGGGGTGCCCTTGCCAGACGTAGGAACTCGGAGAGCAGCGACCAGCGCAGCCTGCTTTCTATCACCTCCGTAGACGACTTCTCTGACGGTAGGTGGTGCCGTGTGTGTGTGCTCGCTCACATGCATGTCCTCCGCTGTCCAAGGCTTCGTATTAGCCCTTAGACATTGTTTACCTTTTGTAGTCTTGACTGGACTCTCATCCCATCTTCACTTCTACCTGCATTCATACATACTGTAGCCTGTAGCTATAATCTCTCTCCTCTCTGTGTCTCTCTCTCCAGATATCCCCCTGTTAAAGGAAGCCTGAAGCCCCCTGCAGCAGCACCACTCCCCCCTACAGCTGACCAGGAAACACTGAGGCTTCTGCTGGGGCCTACTGGGGCTTTCTACCTGAACTATACCACCCTACCCTATATCTCTGAACCACAGAACTACAGAATTACCCAGCGCAGCAAAGACAGGAATCATGTCAAAGAAACTCAACCTCCCTCCACATCTGCAACTTCTCACACGGTGCAAAGACGAGTAGAGTCCACTTCACCCCCAACTATTACCACCCATGCACAGAAATGAGACAAACCATGTCCGCCCCCAGTATCCTCTCCCCGTGTCCTGGCTACCCCTTCTGCAATGATCTCTAAACTACTACCCGTGTGGAGAAAAGACAAGACTACTCCCTCCCTCTCTCTCTCATACTGGGAACTGATGAACCTGTAATAACTACTGACCCCCTCAGCTTCAGAATGGATCTCAACACAGACAGACAGGCAAGCAGACAGGCATCAAGTGGTTCCAGCTAAATATAGATGCATACTGTATGTATAAGAGCACACATAGTCACTGACCAAAGGTTTGGTACTGTGTATGTGTCACTATGTACACAGCAGAGCCATTTATATATACAGGGTTCTCCCAAAATATTTAAGAGAGGCGCTGCACCACCTTGTGGACTGGCTGCGCCACTATGTTAAAAAAACAATTTATCATTTAAGGCAATTTTTTTGCTCTAGATTGCAGGAAATGACCCTGCCGTACTCAGCAGCACCACCTTGTTAAAATAAATCCTGGGGAGAACCCTGAAATAGCTCTGGTACACAGAACACACTTCCCTCTAGGCCTAGGTGCCGTCACCCAATCAGCCACACTTCCCTCTAGGCCTAGGTGCCGTCACCCAATCAGCCACACTTCCCTCTAGGCCTAGGTGCCGTCACCCAATCAGACACACTTCCCTCTAGGCCTAGGTGCCGTCACCCAATCAGACACACTTCCCTCTAGGCCTAGGTGCCGTCACCCAATCAGCCACACTTCCCTCTAGGCCTAGGTGCCGTCACCCAATCAGACACACTTCCCTCTAGGCCTAGGTGCCGTCACCCAATCAGAACACACTTCCCTCTAGGCCTAGGTGCCGTCACCCAATCAGAACACACTTCCCTCTAGGCCTAGGTGCCGTCACCCAATCAGAACACACTTCCCTCTAGGCCTAGGTGCCGTCACCCAATCAGCTACACTTCCCTCTAGGCCTAGGTGCCGTCACCCAATCAGACACACTTCCCTCTAGGCCTAGGTGCCGTCACCCAATCAGACACACTTCCAAAGGCTTTATCTCAAACCGCAAGGCTAGTAGCTAACATAATTATGCTTTTATCGCTGCTGCTGATGATAATGATTACTGTGGATACAGACTTGTACTTGTGCATCTCCCTACTCTAATGCGGATAAGGAGTATCTCTCTTCAATGAGGACTATCTTGGTTTGGGCCTTGGCCTGGTTTCGCTGGCTTATGCTGCATGTTTTCTGTATTGATCAATGGATGACGTCCTGCGGCCCACACGGTGGCCCTGTCTGTCCACTCTGAATGAAGCTAATAATTAAAGCCCCTCTCCAACTCTGCTGCCACTCTCTGGCATCTCCTTGGGTCAGACAGCGCCGCTTTCGTCTGAGGGACCAGTGTCACATAGGAGTGACGTCACCTGTCAGAAGACGATACACGTAGGATGGATGGAAGGAGCGCGTCACCAAAGCAAGCAGATAGCAGGGCTATAGACAGACTGTATCATGTTAAAAGAAGATCAATGCCTTTTTCTGTTCGTCACAACCACCCGATATCTGTGTTGTTTTGGGCTCCCCTTTTGATGTGACTATCTGAGGGGGAGGTTTTGTTTGGGAGGCGTCAGTATATTTTTGCCGCCTGGCTGTGTGTGTGTGTGTGTGTATCTGGCTGTGGAACTGAACAACATATGACTGTTTCATGAATGAAGAGGGCTGCACTATAATGTCAAATTAACCAAGGCCTTGTTGTTGTTGTTTTTTACATGATGAAAACATGTTTATTTGGTGTTTGGTGACTGGACATTAGATAATATATTTCTTTTTTTCAATCTATTTATTGCGTGTGGGGCAAGGTTGGGTCCACTTGAGGTGTTTGTCACTTGGTTCGGATGCGCTAAAAATGTGTTTGTGTGTGTGAGAGTGTGTGTGGGTGTGGGTGTGTGTGTGGGTGTGTGTGTCTTTGCCTCTGTGTACGTTAGGCGAGAGAGAACGGACATGCCCATAGAATGGGTACACAGGAAATGGTACCCAGGATCCCTGCCCTTAGTAGAGATGGCTTCACACAGCTACCCCAGTTCAAAATGGCTGCCCTCTTTTTTTCCTGCTTTTTACAATGGTCATAAGAACAAACAGTCCTTACTGTAAGAATACAGTACATGATGTATATTTTAAATGTTCAAGGATTAAAATGTCCTCCATTTTCTGCAGAGTTGCTTCAGAGTAACCTCGTGGATCTGCGACTTAAACTGAAAAACCTTGCTTCAAAACCGGAGCATTGACACAACTGCAACTGGTTGCAGGAAACAACAACAGTAATCTTTACGTTGTAAATGTTCAGTTCAAATTTTAAGTGAGCACAGTTTTTTAATTTACCTCTGTTGATGAAACCACTCCTATACATTTGGGAGTTGAGGTCATCACCCTAGCCCATTTAGGATGAGGAGACAGGGTCTGGGTCTAGTCTGGCTTTTTGAAACTCTTTTTTTTTCACATTTTATTTTTGGGTTTTTTGTTTATTTGTGTCGGTCTGTCCACCTGTGATTGTCAATGGCTTCATAAACGCAAACAGAGAACGTTGCCTTAGACCTTGTACATTTTATTACTTTCTTTTTGTTTCTAATTGTACCGGAAGTTTCCTCCATCTTTACCTGCTAGATATTGAAGCGTCTTCAATGTTTCCCAATGGCCTTACTTTTGTATTTTCTAGTCATACAACTGTCTTGTGTATTTTTCAATGCGTTTTATTTTTGTTTTTGGATGCGACTAAAGAAAGTCCATCCTTCTCTCTGTCCTCCCCAAGGCTTCTTCAGCAACTGTGATATTCAAAAGCCTAAGCACCTGAAACAAATCACTTTCTTTTCTGTCTATCAGACATTTTTAAATGTTGCGTGTTAAGGGATTTAAAAAGCTTGTAACTATTTTTTTCCATCCAGACCACCGTTGTTTCCTAAATGACAATGAAAACAAAGTCCATCTCTTGATTCTGCATTTCAATGCGTTCATGTTTTGTTTTTTTCCTCTGTACGTTGCAGTGGGGTGTGAAGATCGTATTTTTAATATTTGTATAAAGTTTAATTTAATTATACCGTGTGTATATAACTATTTCTAATTAAAGCTTTTTTGAAAGTGTGTGTGTGAGATGTGATGTGTGTTTTTACATTGAAGATCATACAGTGCCTTGCAAAAGTATTCATCCCCCTTGGCGTTTTTCCTATTTTGTTGCATTACAACCTGTAATTTAAATATATTTTTATTTGCATTTCATGTAATGGACATACACAAAATAGTTCAAATTGGTGAAGTGGTTTCAAAAAAATTATACAAAATAAATAACGGAAAAGTGGTGCGTGCATATGTATTCACCCCCATTGCTATGAAGCCCCTAAATAAGATCTGGTGCAACCAATTACCTTCAGAAGTCACATAATTAGTTAGATTGCACACAGGTTGACTTTATTTAAGTGTCACAGGATCTCAGTATATATACACCTGTTCTGAAAGGCCCCAGAGTCTGCAACACCACTAAGCAAGCGGCACCATGAAGACCAAGGAGCTCTCCAAACAGGTCAGGGACAAAGTTGTGGAGAAGTACAGATCAGGGTTGCGTTATAAAAAAAATATCCAAAACTTTGAACATCCCACGGAGCACCATTTAAATCCATTATTTAAAAATGGAAAGAATATGGCACCACAACAAACCTGCCAAGAGAGGGCCGCCCACCAAAACTCACAGACCAGGCAAGGAGGGCATTAATCAGAGAGGCAACAAAGAGACCAAAGATAACCCTGAAGGAGCTGCAAAGCTCCACAGCGGATATTGGAGTATCTGTCCATAGGACCACTTTAAGCTGTACACTCCACAGAGCTGGGCTTTACGGAAGAGTGGCCAGAAAAAAGCCATTGCTTAAAGACAAATATAAGCAAACACGTTTGGTGTTCGCCAAAAGGCATTTGGGAGACTCCCCAAACATATGGAAGAAGGTACTCTGGTCAGATGAGACTAAAATTGAGCTTTTTGGCCATCAAGGAAAAAACGCTATGTCTAGCGCAAACCCAAGACCTCTCATCACCCCGAGAACACCATCCCCACAGTGATGCATGGTGGTGGCAGCATCATGCTGTGGGGATGTTTTTCATCGGCAGGGACTGTGAAACTGGTCAGATTTGAAGGAATGATGGAAGGCGCTAAATACAGGGAAATTCTTGAGGGAAACCTGTTTCAGTCTTCCAGAGATTTGAGACTGGGACGGAGGTTCACCTTCCAGCAGGACAATGACCCTAAGCATACTGCTAAAGCAACACTCAGATCACCGACCATTTCGAATCCCACCGTACCTTCTCCGCTATGCAATCTGGTTTCCGAGCTGGTCATGGGTGCACCTCAGCCACGCTCAAGGTCCTAAACAATATAATAACCGCGATCGATAAAAGACAGTACTGTGCAGCCGTCTTCATCGACCTGGCCAAGGCTTTTGACTCTGTCAATCACCGCATTCTTATTGGCAGACTAAATAGCCTTGGTTTCTCAAATGACTGCCTCACCTGGTTCACCAACTACTTCTCAGATAGAGTTCAATGTGTCAAATCGGAGGGCCTGTTGTCTGGACCTCTGGCAGTCTCTATGGGGGTGCCACAGGGTTCAATTCTCGGGCCGACTCTATTCTCTGTGCATATCAATGATGTCGCTCTTGCTGCTGGTGACTCTCAGATCCACCTCTACGCAGACGACACCATTTTGTATACATCTGGCCCTTCATTGGACACTGTGTTAACAAACCTCCAAACGAACTTCAATGCCATACAATACTCCTTCCGTGGCCTCCAACTGCTCTTAAACGCTAGTAAAACTAAATGCATGCTCTTCAATCGAACGCTGCTTGCACCCGCCCGCCCGACTAGAATCACTACTCTCGGCAGGTCTGACATAGAATATGTGGACAACTACAAATACCTAGGTGTCTGGTTAGACTGTAAACTCTCCTTCCAGACTCACATTAAGCATCTCCAATCCAAAGTTAAATCTAGAATCGGCTTCCTATTTCGCAACAAAGCCTCCTTCACTCATGCTGCCAAACATGCCCTCGTAAAACTGACCTACCGATCCTTGACTTCGGCGATGTCATTTACAAAACAGCTTCCAACACTCTACTCAGCAAATTGGATGTAGTCTATCACAGTTCAATAAAACCATTTAAACCTATGATTCATTAAATGAAACCAAAAGGTTGGACCTCACTGTTTAAGAGGGCCTAGACATTACATTTACATTTTAGTCATTTAGCAGACGCTCTTATCCAGAGCGACTTACAGTTAGTGAGTGCATACATCATTATTTTTTAAATATATATATTATTTTATTTACTGGCCCCCCGTGGGAATTGAACCCACAACCCTGGCGTTGCAAACGCCATGCTCAAGCAACTGAGCTACATCCCTGCCGGCCATTCCCTCCCCTATCCTGGACAACGCTGGGCCAATTGTGCGCCGCCCCATGGGTCTCCCGGTCACGGCCAGCTACGACAGAGCCTGGATTTACGACAGAGACATTTTAAGAACACCTGAATTGATCTGTCTTCGGTGGTTTTTATTCAGCGGCCCAAAGATTGATGTGTAGTGAGTAAGCAGGCTAAAAGATCGATAGATCCATAGTAAACATGGGTGGAAGGCCTGTAGAGAACAGATACTTTGAAGCCTACCCCACTGTGACCTCCTCAAGGACACTCCAGGACAACCGCACCTCATTGGAGTGCAAAATTGTGTCTAACATCAGCCTATATAGTATCATGATACTGGCTAGCTGTTCGTCTTACTAACTGTAAACGCAACAGCAGCATTTACCTGTACATCAACATACAATCAAGTCTGAGGACATAAAGCGCCGTGCCATTTTATATTGGGTCCCCTACTACTATGACGAGTGACGAGCGCCACCAGCCATTGTTTTATGTAGATTTTGAACCTTGTGACTGGGTGACACCTAGCGGCTAGATAAAGTACTAGTGCGCCGTGTCATTGAAAAGCCGAGTGAAAACAGACTCCATTTTGTGTGCGTGTCTTTCTCGCTGTGTTTTGAAGAGGCAGCAGGCAGCAAGACGATACCTCAGAAGAAAACACACAGAAAGGTATGTTAAAATGAAGATTTGCACAATTAAAATGGATGTAACTAATGTTAATGCACTAGTATTGGCAGTCGGAAACAATGTGGTTAACAAGCTAGTTAACTTCTTTGTGGTGTTTATCTTGCGTTTGCAAACGCAATCACAAGGCCCCCAAAAGTGCACGATGACTGTCGCAGCTAAGATAACGATAAATACTCGGTTTTGAAACCTCTCCGGCATGAGTATACAATATTGCACGGCATATTATATTTGTTTATTTCGATAGTGTATCGACCTTCTGTTTTACATTCTGCAATTTGTGAACGATGGAATTCTAGCTAGCCGACGTTAGCAAAAATTGCTGTTAGCTAATGAATGATGTGGTTGTGCGCATGAAGTATTTCTGATATGCTAACGTTAGCTGCCACCTGACACGACGTTCTAACAACATTCCTTCAATATAGTTATTTTTTTGTTGTTGAATATTTGTCAACGTAAGTGTTTTTTTCTTTTCTTTACTGTTTTGTTATCAGAATACACACCCTACAGCCAGAATGAGTGGATGTCGCATTTTTGTCGGCCGGTTGAACCCGTCTGCCAGAGAGAAGGACGTGGAGAGATTCTTCAAAGGATATGGCCGCATCCGAGACATCGACCTCAAGAGGGGCTTTGGTTTTGTGGTCAGTATACACACACACAAAATCAGTATGCACACGGCCTTTTCACACCGCATTGTTCTAACGCTTCAAACACACCGACTGTGTCTGCGTCATGGTCCTCTGTAGCTCAGCTGGTAGAGTACGGCGCTTGTAACGCCAAGGTAGTGGGTTCGATCCCCGGGACCACCCATACACAAAAATGTATGCACGCATGAATGTAAGTCGCTTTGGATAAAAGCGTCTGCTAAATGGCTTATTATTATATTATGGTACACCAGAAGTACATTCATTTTCAATGGAACGCTGCGTTTGCCTTGCAGCATTGCGTTGAACATTCACCTTCTGCTACCATGTCTGTCAACTCGTTTACACATACAGTTTGACGCGCAAATTCGATAAAACCAACGTATGCACCACACAGAACGCACTGCCTCAAACGCTCCATTGGAAATGAATGTACTTCTGGTGTACCATGACACAGTCGGTGTGTTCGAATTATAAGGAGGCAGTTGGCTCTTGTCGAGGTGTAGTGAACGCGCTTACAAGCTTTTAGTTTTGTGGTCAGTCCACACACAAATGAGTACATGCACACAATAAGGTTATTGAGAATAGTCCGATTTAATATAATAGTTCATTTAAATGTTTACATGCTTTGCAAGAACGATTTCCCTAATAATCCTGTTTTCATGGGCACATCTGAAATCTGGCTACCTGATGGGACTTTGATAAATGCAGAAAATCGCAGATCAAAATAAACATTCTACCACAGCGAACGTGTTATTTTTGTGAAGCCAATTCGATTCTGAGTTCAGACATATTGTGTGGCTTACTGCATTAGCATCGAATAGCCCCCGCGATATGCAACTTTTCAGGGAGGTTGGGAACCAATATACACAAGCAGTTAGGAAAGCAAAGGCTTCCGAGCTGGTCAAAAAGTGTTGGGACACTGTAAAGTCCATGGAGAATAAGAGCACCTCCTCCCAGCTGCCCACTGCACTGAGGCTAGGAAACACTATCACCACCGATAAATCTACAATAATCGAGAATTTCAACAAGCATTTTGCTACGGCTGGCCATGCTTTCCACCTGGCTACCACTACCCCGGCCGCCAATTTCCGAGCGCACTCCAGAGGGAATCGCAGTCAGTGTGGGTCATGGGTAAATTCAGAGCGTTTAGTGCGCAAACTATACGCTCTGGCACGGCCCTTACGAAAAAAGATTGCAGTCAGAGTGCAGTATGCATTAAATACTGTGTTCAAAACCCAAAATATGATTTTGCAATTACTGCGTCCGAAATACCTTAGTCGACTGCAGTTTCAAAACTGTATATATTTTTTTAAAGGGAAGACCAGCAGTCAAGCACCCAAGCTAACCGGCTAAAGTTGGCTAGCTTGCTAGCTACTTCTAGACACAAATGAGAGAACACCTCACTGACCTTTTTTTTTTTTTTTATTCGCCCTAGCAAAGCTGGTTCGGCTGTTTTCATGTTCTGTAGAGCGTCTAACTGTGCTGCTGGGAACAATTTAATGGGTGTTCTTATTATTATTATTTTTTGCCCACGTTTATTGACACCGGTCATATTCAACAGGTGTTGCGCGTTCGTAAATCCATCAGTTATTCTGCGCTCTGGCACACGCAGACGAGAGTGATCTGAAATCGGAGTAAATGCCTGAGTGAATTTGTATGTGAACTATTTCTGAAGATGAATAGGTCGTTACCAATAAAACGTCAAAATAAGATGCAGAGTGTTCGATTTGCCTGCTGAGACCACCTGACAAGTGTGCTGTTCTCAAGGAATTGTTAAGTAAATGTTAACTATTTGGTTTTAATATCATATCCTCTTAAAGAGCATAGTCAGGCTACTTTCCGGCCTATTCCGTGCAAAACAAGTGCGCACACTTAGCTCTAATCAGTTATACAGCAAGTACAGTGGGGGAAAAAAAGTATTTAGTCAGCCACCAATTGTGCAAGTTCTCCCACTAAAAAAGATGAGAGAGGCCTGTAATTTACATCATAGGTACACGTCAACTATGACAGACAAATTGAGAAAACAAATCCAGAAAATCACATTGTAGGATTTTTAATGAATTTATTTGCAAATTATGGTGGAAAATAAGTATTTGGTCACCTACAAACAAGCAAGATTTCTGGCTCTCACAGACCTGTAACTTCTTATTTAAGAGGCTCCTCTGTCCTCCAGTCGTTACCTGTATTAATGGCACCTGTTTGAACTTGTTATCAGTATAAAAGACACCTGTCCACAACCTCAAACAGTCACACTCCAAACTCCACTATGGCCAAGACCAAAGAGCTGTCAAAGGACACCAGAAACAAAATTGTAGACCTGCACCAGGCTGGGAAGACTGAATCTGCAATAGGTAAGCAGCTTGGTTTGAAGAAATCAACTGTGGGAGCAATTATTAGGAAATGGAAGACATACAAGACCACTGATAATCTCACTCGATCTGGGGCTCCACGCAAGATCTCACCCCGTGGGGTCAAAATGATCACAAGAACGGTGAGCAAAAATCCCAGAACCACACGGGGGGACCTAGTGAATGATCTGCAGAGAGCTGCGACCAAAGTAACAAAGCCTACCATCAGTAACACACTACGCCGCCAGGGGCTCAAATCCTGCAGTGCCAGACGTGTCCCCCTGCTTAAGCCAGTACATGTCCAGGCCCATCTGAAGTTTGCTAGAGTGCATTTGGATGATCCAGAAGAGGATTGGGAGAATGTCATATGGTCAGATGAAACCAAAATAGAACTTTTTGGTAAAAACTCAACTCGTCGTGTTTGGAGGACAAAGAATGCTGAGTTGCATCCAAAGAACACCATACCTACTGTGAAGCATGGGGGTGGAAACATCATGCTTTGAGGCTGTTTTTCTGCAAAGGGACCAGGACGACTGATCCGTGTAAAGGAAAGAATGAATGGGGCCATGTATCGTGAGATTTTGAGTGAAAACCTCCTTCCATCAGCAAGGGCATATAAGATGAAACGTGGCTGGGACTTTCAGCATGACAATGATCCCAAACACACCGCCCGGGAAACGAAGGAGTGGCTTCGTAAGAAGCATTTCAAGGTTCTGGAGTGGCCTACCAGTCTCCAGATCTCAACCCCATAGAAAATCTTTGGAGGGAGTTGAAAGTCCGTGTTGCCCAGCGACAGCCCCAAAACATCACTGCTCTAGAGGAGATCTGCATGGAGGAATGGGCCAAAATACCAGCAACAGTGTGTGAAAACCTTGTGAAGACTTACAGAAAACGTTTGACCTGTGTCATTGCCAACAAAGGGTATATAACAAAGTATTGAGAAACTTTTGTTATTGACCAAATACTTATTTTCCACCATAATTTGCAAATAGATTCATAAAAAATCCTACAATGTGATTTTCTGGATCTCTTTTCCTCATTTTTTTCTGTCATAGTTGACGTGTACCTATGATGAAAATTACAGGCCTCATCTTTTTAAGTGGGAGAACTTGCACAATTGGTGGCTGACTAAATAGTTTTTTTCCCCACTGTAACTGCATGCTTGTCATGATCACTAAACATCAATTGATCATGTTATTTTAGATTTATTAGGGTATCTTCACGATTTCTCAATATTGGCCACTATTTATTGGATATTTGAGTGATTATAAAAGGTAACTCTACCTGACAAGTATGAGTGGTTTAGGTTAATTTCCCATCCTTTGTGGGCTCTGCCTGTCAATCGGCAGAAAGAAGGGTGGTTTTGCCGATGTACTGTTGGCAGATGTTTACTTTGCAAGCTACCGGTAGAAACTTTGTGCAGTTCACTTAACATAGTGGAAAGTAGACCTAATGTACTTTTTTTCTCCAACCAACGTAGGGCTACCTAGCGAAGTTGGCTAACATATCCCCTTTTCAACATTGTTTTTAAGTGTTTGATCACGACTGTTGCTGACAGACATTATAGGCTACATTGATTGATGGACCACGTTGAATTGGCTAGCTACCCAGTAAGCACCCGCGTCTTTGGCCAATTTTTTGTATCAAAATGCATAGGAAATATGTAGTTTTGAGAGCATTTGCACATTGGCAAGACGTCGCCGAGACATCAGAATGTAAATCAGAATAGAATGTTGATGCCTGGCCGACGTATTCATAGGATGCTCCGCCGTCACCCGGTCGCGTTGTGCCGTTGTTATGAAAGTTTAAGTCGCCCTCTACTGGCGGCGCAGTAAGGGGTGCCCAGTCATTCTGGAAGGAGACGGATGACGGTTTAGTCAAAATTGCACTATAGTGCGTGGAAATACGATGACATTGCTGAAGTTGTCAAATGTTTTTGTAGGAAACAACTTTGCCAGCGTTATCATGTTGTCAAATTCACTTTAGACCGATGGCAATGTTGTCATTGGTTAGCAAAGTTTGTCAAAAATAGCTAGCAATGCTAACTTTAGCTAGCTAAAATCAAGCTAACGTTATGCTGCATCTAAAGTCAATCTGGCGACATCATCAAAATGATGACAAAAGGTTTTCCTACTAATTTATTTGCCTCCTTTTGAAAGGCATTGTATTTCCAAGCCACTAATGCACTTTAGATATCTTCATCAGTACTCATTGATGCGTTGAGTAGAATGCTCAGTCGGGCATCGGTCCAAAACTAACATTCAAAATAAATATTGTGACGAAACACGCCACCCATGAATAAACAATGTAGTATTTAGATTGTAGGCATTCTAAATACATCTGCAAGATGTCTTGCCAATTAGCAAACAGTCTCCATATAACATCTTCCTGACGTAGCCTGTATACGCCGTGCCTACATTGGGCAGGCGCGTGTGTCAGCCAATAGCAGATCATGTCAATGTGGCTAGTTAACAAGTTAACTTTCAGGGGATAAACTAGATGGTTATATTTGCTTGCCATCTAAAGTGGTGATGACAGTAGTCCTGTGGTCCTCTGTAGCTCAGCTGGTAGAGCACGGCGCTTGTAACGCCAAGGTAGTGGGTTCGATCCCCGGGACCACCCATACACAAAAATGTATGCACGCATGACTGTAAGTCGCTTTGGATAAAAGCGTCTGCTAAATGGCATATTATTATTTAGTCCGACTGACAACTTTACCAGGACGTGCTCGTTCCAAAAGCCTAATCTCTGAAGCAAGCTAAATGACATGTTTGCTTAGCTAGCTACATGACAAATGGATAGGCTATTCTCATGCATCTGAAATTACATTATCATTTGATGTTTACTGATCGTGAAAAGCATGCAGTTACTTGCTTTGTAACGCTACTAGAGCTAAATGTAGAATAATCAGAAATGTGTGTTTCTGACAATACACTTCAAGAGGTTATGATATTAACCAAATAGTTATAACATTTTATTTAACAATCCCTTAAACTGCACTTGTCAATGGTTTTAGCGGCGCTGGGGGTCTCCTTGTCCCCCAGCAGCCAAATCCAACGCTCTGCACCGTATTGTGACGTTTTATTGAAAACAACCTATACGTAAAGTTTTTTTCCCCCCAGAATTCCCTTCACTCGTGCAAGAGGAAGCTCGTTCTAGCACGTGCGCAGATCAAATGCACCGCTGTAACTCTGATTAAGCTGTTTACTTCGAAGGCTTGCTCAGAAAACCAGGTTTTATTCAGCATATGCTTACGCGGATTACACCGAATATTTTTTTTTTTTACATTTTATTTTTAAAAGATGAACATAGTAAGGTGTTTACATTACTAATGCCATACTCGGCCTTCTCCGCTAGCTAGTTGCAGAGGAAGTCTAGAATGGATAGTAATCTTAATGTTCTATTTCCTCCAGGAGTTTGATGATCCTAGGGATGCGGAGGATGCAGTTTATGAACTGGACGGCAAGGAGCTCTGTAATGAGAGGTAGAGTGGCGGTATCTCTGTTCATGGTGGACATTACACATCACCACCATGGCTATTATAACAGCCTTCCATAGCCTTTTTTGTTCTGTCTCAAGCCCTCTATGTTCTCTCCCCCTATTATTTTTTTCTTCTTCTCTCTCTCTCTCTCAGGGTGACCATTGAGCACGCCCGTGTGCGCCTGCGTGGTGGCCGGGGACGTGGTGGCGACAGAGGAGGTGGTGGAGGTCGCTTCCCGGATCGCTACGGCCGTGGCTCCCAGGATAGTCGGAGGTACGTGGACATTCATACTATCAGCTAGCGTCTTACAATTCCCCAGTGTGGACTTTCCACACTCGTCGCTAACATGTAGATTCCAGACATCTGAACAATCCCTTTACATGTGGACATTTTTTGAGACAAAATACGCACATGAAGGTATTATTAAACCAACTTCAAAACACTGTTTTTTTTTGTGTGTGGTTTTGTTCGTCACCTGAGGCACGCGCTCAACATAATTGCGTGCATGCATATGCCTGGTTATAGAAATCTCAATGGCAGTACCAGCATTTTTAAAGTCTGTTTTAATAATACTTTCCTGTGGATATTTTGTCTCAAATCTCCATAAGGACCAACCAACCAAGTGGACAACAAGCAGAGTAAGTTCAAATGACAGTTAATTCAACACTCTGTCTATACAAGGCACCTTTTGGAAAATTGCAATGTGTATGTATATATGTGTGTGTGTGGTATGTATATATACATACATACATACATACATACATGCATACACACACACAAAGTATGTGGACACTCCTTCAAATTAGTGGATTCGGCTATTTCAGCCATACCTGTTGCTGACCGGTGTATAAAATCGAGCACACAGCCATGCAATCTCCGTAGACTAACATTGGCAGTAGAATGGCCCGTAATGAAGAGCTCAGTGGGACTTTTGAAGTGGCACCGTCATAGGATGCCGCCCTGCTAGAGCTGCCCCCGGTCAACTGTAAGTGCTGTTATTGTGAAGTGGAAACGTCTAGGAGCAACAACGGCTCAGCCGCGAAGTGGTAGGCCACACAGGCTCTCAGAACGGGAGCGCGTAAAACACTCACTACCGAGTTCCAAACTGCCTCTGGAAGCAACGTCCGCACAATAACTGTTCGTAGGGAGCTTCGTGAAATGACCAACTCCATTATTCATGCCCTTGAATTTGGAACGCGATATTCGACAAGCAGTTGTCCACATACTCTTTGGTTATGCAGTGTAAATCCAACCTAATCTAGGAGTCCAGCAAACTCGGCTCCGTGGGGGGGGGGGGGGGCCGACACGGCTCTCATCCCAACCTAGATTAGGCTGGATTTACACTCATCCCCTTTAAACTATTTCTTAGATATTTTGTTATTGTTAGTCAGTCATGGTGCTGTATACATATAACATCTCCGTTGGAGTGTCGATCTAGGATCTGATAAACATGTTAGATTATAATGAATGGACAGGAATCAACACTGAGGTTCTCTCTCCCAGCACAGCAAAAGTATTAGGCTACTAGTCAGGATCAAATCCGGCCTTCGGCTAAAACGAAGAAACGAGTGACGATGACCCACCAATGGGTTCTCACCCACTGTAAGGGAACCACGGTTCTAGATCATCTGCAAGATTCTCACTGTTCTTTTTGTCTCCCCCCCCATCACAGTAGGAACCCTCCTCCGATGCGTACGGAGAACCGTCTCATCGTGGAGAATCTGTCATCCCGCGTCAGCTGGCAGGTGAGTTCCTTACCTGGGCGTGTCTCTACCTGCCTGTTAGTAACCCCAGGCTCTGAGTGATCAGACAGAGAGAAATACAACGCTCTGCTTTATACCTGATACCTTCACTAGTAATGATCTCAAGGCAGCTGCCTGGTGCAGTCCAGGTAAAGACTAATACAAGACTCATACTTTTTTCTTTTCTTTTTTTACCTACGTTTTATTGGAGTGAATGTGGTAATATTCCATGGGCTGAGAGCAAATAAATATGAAAATCGACAGCACTAAATGTGTTGTGATGGGCCCAAATAGCTCCTTGCAAAGTATTTAATAACCTATCAAGAGCTCTCAATACATATCCAGCCTTTTCCTGAGAGCTTCCAGTGGAAAAACAGCCAGCCATAGCTATTTGCTGCATCTAAAGAATGCAGTTGATTTTAGATACAAAAGGAAGAAAACAACGAATTTGTCTGTTTTTTAATTTTAACCAATTCTTCACCCCTTTATTTGCCAGCCTGACTGTTGTGTCGTATGGAAGAGAGCGCTTCTTATGGTGGAGTTAACCCAATCAGGGTCCCTCTCTCTGGGTTGAGCCATGTCGTGCCAGTCAGCCCACTGGTAGTTGGTTCCTCTCCTCCTGCTGGTCGTATGAGAGGGTGAGGTCCCACCCCCGGGTCCCCACTACTCGCTCTGCTCTAGAAGCGCTGGCGTGGCTGGCTGCCCCTCCCCCCCGGTGGGGGGCCTCAACGGCCGGAGCGCCGTGCTGACAGAGATATCACAGAGAGGCAGAAAGAGAGTCGATGATGGTGTTCATGATGGTGGCACCGTATTTGTCTGATCGATGGTGGTCCGTTAATTTGAGAGGCTTCGATCGATCCATATCCCCCCCCCCCCCCCCCCAATTCCCCCTGTGTGCTGTGGTTCCGTCCTCACATCGCGAGAGGTACCCAGAGGTGGATCAAATCTGCTGAGCGAGGTCACGAGAGGTCAAGGTTGGATCACGAGGTGCGATCAAGGTGGTTATGGTATGATGAACTAGGAGAGTCTGCTGCGGCCCCGCTCCAAGGGGGTCACAGGTATTGGTTTCCTCTCTTCCTCACTGTACTGAGACTGAGGGGGGTGCCGAGCCCGAGACGGGGTTCCTGTCCCGGCCGTTAGGGAACTCCTTTCTAGCCAGAGACAACAGGGCTCTTAGTGCTGCTCAACACAAAAAAAGATCTGCTGGTCATGCAGGCTGTTATGTTTATATTGACTATTCTGTGTAGTTGTTTTAAAGAGAGCGGGGTTCCAATAATTTTTGAGACAATGTAAAATCCAAAGACATTTTTTTTCAGGTCTATTTGACTTTAGCTTCCTCCATTTTACAGATCCAATAACATTTGTGTTTACACAGGCAGCCCAATGGAGCTTGACCTAGAAACCCCAAAATGCGTTACCGCTTGTACGTTTTCTTTGAGATAATTGCAGTCAGTTAACATTTTACCTTTTTATGTACATAAATGCTTCAAATTTCACAAAGTGACGTTAGCTGATGAAGATTATCATAGTATAGCCCATCCCTATGGAGAAAGAATGGGGTTTTGGAATAAATGCCGAAAGATAAGGTCTGAGGTTAACACAAGCTTAAGAGATCATATACGTTTTGTTCTATTGAGATAATAGCAGTCAGTTAACATTACCTTTTTATGAATTATGAAGCTTTTTGCTATTTAAATAAATGCTTTAAAAAAAACCGCTGTTAATTTCCCCGTAGGCTTTGTCCAACTAACCATGACGTAGTTAGTGCCTACAAAAAGACGCAATTACTATTTCTCTCTAGTGGAGGTGCGTAAAGATTGCGGCCCACATGCACTTACCACAAATTCCTTGTTTTGTTAAGTTCTCCGTATTGTACATTGCTCGCCGTAACTTTTTTTTTCTATATTCATTAGCAGTGTACATGATCCCAATTTTAGCTTAAGGATGCCAGAAATTAGAGAGGAGAAAAAAAAATGATTTATTAGGCACATTGAACCATGTTGCGTGCCGTAGTTTTAAAGACTCAGTGGATAGTGCTAAAACAATGACGTCATATCTGAATTCCTCCATCTTGATTAACGCTCGCCGTTCTGATCTTCTTTCCACTAATTTGGTCTTTTGACCAATCTCATCAGATCTTTTTCAGAGCTGATATGATTGGTCAAAATACCAATTAGTGGAGGGGGAAAAAGATCAGAATGGGCTGCCTGTGTAAACAGCAATTTGTTCTTCCGGGGAAGGCTTTCATCACATTTCCTTAAACTGATATACAGTAGGGCTTTGTATCCTCTGTTCAGTTGAATACTTTTTGGCCATTTTGCCTAGCTCTTCTTTTGGCTTAGCTGCAAAGGAGTTTCTTAGGGAAGTGTGTGGAGTTTCTGAACCGCTAGTTCTGTCAATTTGGTCCCTTCGCACACAGACAGACCTGACCGTTAACTGACAGCTACTTTTGTAACGTAATGTCTTTGTTGCTGGACCAGACAGCCAGTCATTTTGCCGTGTTCTCTGAGGTTCTTGGACCCCTCTCTTTATCTGTTAGCCTCTGTAGTTGCTCTATGATATCTAACCGTCTCTCTCTCTTTGGGGAAATATTATGCATTATTTTGACAGCGTTGTGTCCTGGTACGGTCCTAATTTAGCCTGTCGTTGTGTAGGACCTGAAAGATTTCATGAGACAGGCTGGGGAAGTCACGTTCGCCGATGCCCACCGCCCCAAGCTCAACGAAGGGTAAGAATAAAATGCATTTCCCCAGCCATTCTTCAACATCCATACTCCTCCTAATATAACGGTGGACATTTAAACCACCATGTCAGTTGTGTCCTACTGAACTCTTGTTTTGTCATGTCGGTCTTCAGGGTGGTTGAATTCGCCTCTTACAGCGATCTGAAAAACGCAGTTGAGAAGCTGTCTGGCAAGGAGATCAATGGAAGGAAGATCAAGCTGATTGAGGCAGCTAAGAAGAGGTGAGTGGTCTGGAGGATAAGCCCTTCTAGATGTTTCCACGTGTCTTTAGATTCATGTTAAAGGGGGGGCATTTTGTAAACTTTTCCCCCAGAAATTATACAATTGTTTTAAAACTGTTTGTAAGCTTTTAAAATAATTTTCAACTGATTTATTTAACAGTGATGAAGGTATGGTATGCAAAATGGGTCAACTTTGAGGATCTTTTATCTCTTCAATGTTTTTGGCATTCAGGTCCAAAACATAACTTTCTGACCACTTGGGTATGAATGGAAAGTTCCAGTTCGACTCAAAAGGGGTGTGGTCAAAAAGTGATAGAATTAAAATGGGTCTTTCCTCCTCCCTCTTCTCCAGGGGTTCCAGGAGTCGTTCCCGCTCAGAGAGCTCCTCTCGTTCCCGTTCTCGTAACCGTTCCCCGTCCCGCTCCAGGACACCCCGTCGTTCCAGGTCCCACTCCCCCAAGAGGAACTACTCTCGCTCTCGGTCCCACAGCGGCTCCCCAGCCCCCCGTGGAGGCGCAGGAGGTGGTGCTGCCCCCGCCTCCCCACCACCCAGGGCTAAGGAGACCTCCAAACGGCCCTCCAAGCCAAGCAAGTCTGCCTCTCCACACTCCCCTCCCCCTGCACAGCGTGCACCTTCCAGGTCTCGGTCTAGGTCTCGTGGCTCTCGTTCCCCGTCCACGGACAGCCGCCACTGAGTATTGAGAACAGGAATACACTCATTTTGACATGAACACACGCATAGCTAACGCTCACACACATACACAGTACATGAATACACTCCCATTAAGACAAACGTGAACACACACACACTGTTTTAGTAAGACTACAGGGCCTGCTATCTCTGTGTTTTCCCTCGGTTTCCTCTCTCCGGCCCCCTCTCTTCTGACATGGCTGACCTTTGACCTACTGCAGCATGGTGGGTGTCCTCGGTAAAAGCATCACACTCTGAACACAATGACGGTTTCAGTTTGAGCATTTATTCTGAAACCTTGGTTTTGTTTCGGTCAGTATTTTTTACTTGGAATGGTTTTTTTGTTTTTGTAATTCAAAGCTCATGTATGATTTGATTCCCCTCTGCCCGCTGTTGGTTGGCAGCTCTGATATCATGAACAGTTGAGAATTCCAAGTCCTGTTGCATGATGGTAATGAATGTGATTGGGTAAGGTTTTGGGTCGTACCATTCTCATCTCAGTGTAGGGGTGGCGTACGGTAACCGTTTGGGGAATTGTTTTGTTTTATGCTGTGATGATTATTATTTTTTAATAGGATGCCATCTTTTTTTTGGTGTGTCAGACTTTGTGACGGGCAGTGAAGATGTTTTATCCTCAGTGAAGATGTTTTATCCTCAGTGAAGACACCTTGTGAAAACATTGTTGTACATGCTGTGTTTTTATTTGAACCAATTTCTATTGAATGTTTAAATGGAGTGGTATCTCTGTACTTTTAGTTTCTGTATAGCATTATATACATTTCCCTTTTACAACTTATTGTGAAGAGGTTTTAACACCTGGACAATAGTTTGGAAAATAAAACATTTTGTACGCTAAAGCATGAAGTATGATTTTTTTTTTTTTTTTTTTTTCAGTGTTTGATATGAAGGTTATTTGTATTTCCATGGAAAAAGAACAAGTCCCAAAGCAAATGACCAATAAACAGTTTTAAATAAAGCATTAAAATACAATTTGTGTATGTCAACTTGAGAAGTTAAACTTCAACAAAATTGTGCCACTGTTAATGTTCTTAGTAATTGAACTTAAAACAATATTTAGTAATAAAATGTCACATTACTATTTTACAATGTTTTCTGTAGCTTGTCCACACATTGACACTACCATGTCTTTGATCAGAAGTACTCGTGTAGTTCCAACGGTACATAGGTTTATCTTTTCGGTTAATTACACACGTCATACCACACACACACTGCTACACTTATACAGTGTAGTCACTTGGCACAATCAATCCACCTTCAAAACGCCTGCTGCCATGCATCATTGTAAGTGCAGGGTACTGGGTGTTTTTTTAAGTCCACATTTTGTAAGAGTTCCTGGTAGATGAGCCTGATGACATCACCGGGGTCCATTTCAGACTGCGCTGATGCGAATCTGAATTCCATCAGATCAGCCGTTTTAGACGGCCACGTCACTGAGCTTCATCTCCTCTGGCTGTTTATCCATGGCCTCGAACACCTGCTGCTCTGTGGGACGGGGAGAGAGCGAGAGAGGAGGACCGTTGGGGCTAGCTGTCATCTGACAAAATGACGGCAACCTGGACAGCTAAGATTGAACTGGGTCCTCCGGTCTTTGTTTTGTGATGACACAACTAATGTAGGTTTTAAGTTTGATTGGGAGAATGGGCCTGTATTCATAAAGCGAATGAGTAGGAGTGCTGATCTCGGATTTAGTATTTTGCAAAAGAATGAATAAGATTTAATGAACACGGGTAACCTTGTCCCAGATCAGCGCTCTTATTCGGAGATGCTTTATGAATACGTGCTCTGTCTCCTAGTTGAGGTGAAAACCTCCGTTGTGTCATCACAAGTGACCTGATGTCCAGGTCTGACTAGGTGCTTTGTAACTGTATATCACTCACGGACGGGGGTCAGTCAAGCCTACCTTTCTTTGGTGTTTTAAAGAACCTCTGGTGAACCCTGAAGAGGGCGATGAGCAGGAAGGCCTCTCCCACCTGACACACTATGTAGATCATAGGGAACAGGTAGAGTGGACCAATCACATCGGGAGGGAATGCCACCTTCAGAATGGTGGAACACAGCTGGATGTTCTGGCAGCCTGTCTCCATAGCGATGGTCCTCCGCCCCCTTGAGGAACAGGAAGTCCAAATAAGGAAACTTGAACAGATTGATTGACCATGGAGTTCCAGCTGGAATGTATATGTATTTTCTCTAAATCAAGAAATGTTTTACTAAAGAAAAACCATCATCCTTAACACTATCGTCACCATGACTTACGATCCGTTTAGTTTGAAGAGGTATGAGAGGACGTATCCGAAGGTGTAGCCAATGAGGGGCATGAGGGCAGCGGTGGCTATGAGAGGAGGGGACAGGACGGTCAGCATCAGATCCATCCCTCCTACGGTCATGCTGACCAACAGGCCAATCACTACCATGGACATCAACAGGATGGACAGACCAACCTGGAGAGAGAGGGAAAAGAATAGGAGAATAATACTTTTATATACTCTACTGAAATTGTCCTTTGGGGTGCACTTGATTTAGCTTGAAATGTGGATTACTCAGAGTTAAGCGCAGTTTGACTTGGCTATTTGACCCAGGTCTTGATTGAATCACCTGTATGCTCCATGTCATAATGATGGTCATGGAGCACTGTAGTATACTGTGTACTGTACTCTACCTTAGTGATGGTCTGTAGTACTGTACTGTACTCCACCTTAGTGATGGTCTGTAGTACTGTATTGTACTGTACTCTACCTTAGTGATGGTCTGTAGTACTGTATTGTACTGTACTCTACCTTAGTGATGGTCTGTAGTACTGTATTGTACTGTACTCTACCTTAGTGATGGTCTGTAGTACTGTATTGTACTGTACTCTACCTTAGTGATGGTCTGTAGTACTGTATTGTACTGTACTCTACCTTAGTGATGGTCTGTAGTACTGTGTACTGTACTGTACTCCACCTTAGTGATGGTCTGTAGTACTGTATTGTACTGTACTCTACCTTAGTGATGGTCTATAGTACTGTGTACTGTACTGTACTCCACCTTAGTGATGGTCTGTAGTACTGTATTGTACTGTACTCCACCTTAGTGATGGTATGTAGTACTGTACTGTACTATACCTTAGTGATGGTCTGTAGTACTGTATTGTACTGTACTCCACCTTAGTGATGGTATGTAGTACTGTACTGTACTATACCTTAGTGATGGTCTGTAGTACTGTATTGTACTGTACTCCACCTTAGTGATGGTCTGTAGTACTGTATTGTACTGTACTCCACCTTAGTGATGGTATGTAGTACTGTACTGTACTATACCTTAGTGATGGTCTGTAGTACTGTATTGTACTGTACTCCACCTTAGTGATGGTATGTAGTACTGTACTGTACTATACCTTAGTGATGGTCTGTAGTACTGTACTCCACCTTAGTGATGGTCTGTAGTACTGTACTCCACCTTAGTGATGGTCTGTAGTACTGTACTGTACTCTACCTTAGTGATGGTCTGTAGTACTGTATTGTACTGTACTCTACCTTAGTGATGGTCTATAGTACTGTACTGTACTCCACCTTAGTGATGGTCTGTAGTACTGTGTACTGTACTCTACCTTAGTGATGGTCTGTAGTACTGTATTGTACTGTACTCCACCTTAGTGATGGTCTATAGTACTGTACTGTACTATACCTTAGTGATGGTCTGTAGTACTGTGTACTGTACTCTACCTTAGTGATGGTCTATAGTACTGTACTGTACTATACCTTAGTGATGGTCTGTAGTACTGTGTACTGTACTCCACCTTAGTGATGGTTTGTAGTATTGTATTGTACTGTACTCTACCTTAGTGATGGTCTGTAGTACTGTACTGTACTGTACTCTACCTTAGTGATGGTCTATAGTAATGTATTGTACTGTACTCTACCTTAGTGATGGTCTATAGTATTGTAACTGTACTCTACCTTTAGTGATGGCCTGTGTAACTGTATTGTACTGGAACTCCGAACCTAAGTTGATGGTCTGTAGTACTGTGTTACTGGTACTGTACTCCACCTTAGTTGATGGTTTTGGTAGTATATGTATCGTACTGTACTCTACCTTAGTGATGGTCTGTAGTAGTGTACTGACTTGTACTCTACCTTAGTGATTGTCTGTATTCTTTGGTACTGTAACTACTACCTTATTAGATATCGTGGAGTACTGTTTACTTGATCTACCTTAGTAATAGTCCTTGGATACTGTGTACTGGGACGCTACCTTAGTATAGTCTTGGAGTACGTGTACGGACTCTACCTTAGTAATAGTCTTGGAGTACTGTGTACTGGACTCTACCTTAGTAATGGTCTTGGAGTACTGTGTACTGGACTCTACCTTAGTAATAGTCTTGGAGTACTGTGTACTGGACTCTACCTTAGTAATAGTCTTGGAGTACTGTGTACGGGCTCTAACCTTAGCAATGTCTTGGGGTAACTGGTGTAATGGACTCTCCTACCTTATATAGTCTGGACTCTACCTTAATAGTCTGGAGCTGTGTCGGCTCTACCCTTTGCAAGTCTTGGGGGATGTGTAGGACTCTACCTTAAATAGTCTTGGGGTACTGTGTCGGACTCACCCTTTGTAAAAGTCTGGGTCTGTGTATGGCTCACCTTTGTAAAAGTCTTGGAGTACTGTTTACTGGGCTCTACCTTTGATAGTCTTGGGGTACTGTGACTGGCTCACCCTTTGTATGTCCTTGGGGTACTGTGTTGGACTTACCTTTAATAGTCTTTGGGGTACTGTGTACTGGCTCACCTAGTAAAAGTATTGGAGTTACTGGACCCTACCTTAGTAAAGTCTTGGATACTGCGGGCCCGTATATTGATTGGGTTTTCCCATGCTGCGGGGGGAAAAAGTCATGACCAGGCCCGAGTAAATGCCAGCTAGGGGAAAAGCCTCTCCAGGTTGGAGAAGCCCGGGAGTACAGGGAAGAGCAGTGGCATCATACCCCGGCTAAATGTGAGCAGGTAGTCACACAAAACTGGGAGGGAGGGGGGGAAAAAGAAGGGGGAGAGGGGGGGAGAGAGAAGAGAGAGAGAAAAGAGAAAGAAAAAAGAGGGGGAAAGGGAGGGGGAAGAGAGTGGAAAGGAGACGGGGATCTTCCTCCTCGCTCCTGCTCTTTTTCCTCGCCTTTCTTTCTATGCCCCCTCCTTTTGCCCCTCTCCTCTCGCCTTCCTCTTTTTTCCCCTTTTTCCCCCCTCTTTTTTCCGCTCCCGCCCCGCTCGCTTCCTCCCCTTTCCTCGCCTCCTGTCGCTCCTCCCCCCCCTCCTCCCTCCCTCTCCTTTTTCGCCCCCCCCTTCCTCGCTCCCCTCTCCTCTGTTTTTCCTCCCCGCTCTCTCCCCCTCCGCTCCCCCGCCCCCCCCTCTTTTCTCCCCCTCGCTCCTCTCTTCTCTCTCTCCGTTTGGCCCTCCTCCTCCGGTTGCTCTCTCCTCTTCCTTCTTTTTCTTTCCCCCCCTTGGGCTCTTTTCGTCGCCGCTCCGCCTGGGCGCTTTTGGTCCGCCCTTGCTCTGTGTTTGTTTTTCTGGGGGGGTTGCCTTCCCCCTCGGCCCGGGCCGCCCGGGGCGGGGGGCCGGTTCCCTCTTGGGGGTTTTTTTTCCCCGCAAAAGGAAAACCCCTTTCTTTTCAAAAACGTGCGGGGGTGACCCGGGTAAAAAACCTGCTTTTGGGGTTTTAGGAAAATCTCTTAATTACCTTGGTTACCTTGACCAAGGTCGATTCCCTTTGTGGTATCTTTTGCTTTTTTGGCGGGTGATTTAACAAAAAAACAACTTTTCTAAACCTGGTCTCTCTAGCCACCTTTCGTGCTAAAAGGGGAAATAAATGCGGTTTGGGGTTTTAAAGACTCTAAAGGGGGTTAAATTATAATTGGAAAAAATTTGTTGGGTTAAAGAATGCAAGGGTAAATACTGCGGGTTATTTAAAAATGTGCTGTTGGGTTTATGTATTTTATTAATATACAGTATGGGTTAAATAATTACCGGTACACCCAAATAATGGTGCAAGAACGGTCCTTTAGAAAGTAAAAGCTCGGTGCCAATAACATATGGGTTTTGAAAAAAGGGCATTTTGGTAAAAAATACATGTTATAAAATGTTGGTGTTGTTTTCTTTTTGGGGGTAACCCAAACCCTGTAAACAAAGGAGTAAGCTACTTTGGGGTTTTTGAAAGCCATAAACGGGAAGGGATCCGAAGTAATTATTTAAAACTTGAAAAAATTTAGGGATTTTATATTTAAAATTTCAAAGAAAAATTTACTCCGGTTTAAAAAAAAATGGACTGGGGGTTTCATTTTTATTTATTTAAATTTAAAAAGTTTTTAAGGGCTGGGGTTTTGAACAAGGTCATTCACTTGACAAGGGGGGTTTTAAAAAAACTCATACGGCTGGAAAATATTTCCAAGCCCCCTACAGTCCCCAAACAGGGGGAACCCACCACCAACAGGGTTAGAACAGGGTGATTACCAAGCCACTCATGTAGGTCTGAGCAATAAGTCAGGACAGGATAGGGTGTGGTTGGTTGTTAATGAGTGCATACATGTATTTATTTATTTATTTATTTTTCATACTGGGGGATAACAGTACACACTAGAACACTAGTACATCAAGGTCAGTCAAGTCTTAGCTAATAATAAGGTGAGTGCTATTGCATTGACAAAGCACTTCTTTTGGTACACTTCAACAGTACGAGGTCATGGAACTCGATAGTAAGGTGAATGCCATTGCATTGACAAAGCACTTCACACGTGCATTTAGTCATCCCCCACACCCACCCCCTCCATTCAGCAGCCTCAATGATAATACTGCATTTTACTAACCGATAAATGTACACACTGTATTACATTTTTACATTTGAGTCATTTAGCAGACGCTCTTATCCAGAGCGACATACAGTTAGTGAGTTCATACTGTATCTATCCCCATTAGTACCACAGAGTTGAATGACCTGCATACCATTGACCTGATCATAAAACTATTATCATATTAATAGTACATACCCCCAGTCCCAGACAGACACGCCATCCATCCCACCACAGGTTTAGCCAACAGGTCATTAACCCCTTTATTTGACACTAGGAAATCTACATAACGATTAGAGAAGCACTGTCTCGAGACCCACTTGGAAACAAGATGATTCATCTCGAGCTTATTTTACACATTCTATAATAGATGAACGTAGAGTTGTGTGTATCTACCTGAGGTTCATGTCTCCCTTCAGAGCCAGGGCCAGTATATTGGAGAGGCTTCCCCCTGGACAGCATCCACAGATCAGCACCACGACAGCCTCCACCGGCCCCAGCTGTAACACCTATAGAACCACACACATTAATCCACAGATCAGCACCACGACAGCCTCCACCGGCCCCAGCTGTAACACAGATCAGCACCACTACAGCATCTACTGGCCTCAGCTGTAACACAGATCAGCACCACTACAGCCTCTACTGGCCTCAGCTGTAACACAGATCAGCACCACTACAGCATCTACTGTCCCCAGCTGTAACACAGATCAACACCACTACAGCATCTACTGGCCTCAGCTGTAACACAGATCAACACCACTACAGCCTCTACTGGCCCCAGCTGTAACACAGATCAGCACCACTACAGCATCTACTGGCCCCAGCTGTAACACAGATCAGCACCACTACAGCCTCCACCGGCCTCAGCTGTAACACAGATCAGCACCACTACAGCCTCTACTGGCCCCAGCTGTAACACAGATCAGCACCACTACAGCATCTACTGGCCTCAGCTGTAACACAGATCAGCACCACTACAGCCTCTACTGGCCTCAGCTGTAACACAGATCAGCACCACTACAGCCTCCACCGGCCCCAGCTGTAACACAGATCAGCACCACTACAGCCTCTACTGGCCTCAGCTGTAACACAGATCAACACCACTACAGCATCTACTGGCCCCAGCTGTAACACAGATCAGCACCACTACAGCCTCTACTGGCCCCAGCTGTAACACAGATCAACACCACTACAGCATCTACTGGCCCCAGCTGTAACACAGATCAGCACCACTACAGCCTCTACTGGCCCCAGCTGTAACACAGATCAGCACCACTACAGCATCTACTGGCCCCAGCTGTAACACAGACCAGCACCACTACAGCATCTACTGGCCCCAGCTGTAACACAGATCAACACCACTACAGCATCTACTGGCCCCAGCTGTAACACAGATCAACACCACTACAGCCTCTACTGGCCCCAGCTGTAACACAGACCAGCACCACTACAGCATCTACTGGCCTCAGCTGTAACATCTGAAGACACAGGACAGGACACACATCAGAGGCTACACTGAACAGCTTAGCATGGTCCTGTCCAGCCATTCCCGAAGACATGGGAACCAGACTGAACAGCTTAGCATGGTCCTGTCCAGCCATTCCTGAAGACATGGGAACCAGACTGAACAGCTTAGCATGGTCCTGTCCAGCCATTCCTGAAGACATGGGAACCAGACTGAACAGCTTAGCATGGTCCTGTCCAGCCATTCCTGAAGACATGGGAACCAGACTGAACAGCTTAGCATGGTCCTGTCCAGCCATTCCTGAAGACATGGGAACCAGACTGAACAGCTTAGCATGGTCCTGTCCAGCCATTCCTGAAGACATGGGAACCAGACTGAACAGCTTAGCATGGTCCTGTCCAGCCATTCCTGAAGACATGGGAACCAGACTGAACAGCTTAGCATGGTCCTGTCCAGCCATTCCTGAAGACATGGGAACCAGACTGTACAGCTTAGCATGGTCCTGTCCAGCCATTCCTGAAGACATGGGAACCAGACTGTACAGCTTAGCATGGTCCTGTCCAGCCATTCCTGAAGACATGGGAACCAGACTGAACAGCTTAGCATGGTCCTGTCCAGCCATTCCTGAAGACATGGGAACCAGACTGTGGAATGCCAAGACAACAATGCCAAGACAGCTATGAAAATACTAACCTTAGCCAATGAGAAATGCTAACCTTAGCCAATGAGAAATGCTAACCTTAGCCAATGAGAAATGCTAACCTTAGCCAATGAGAAATGCTAACCTTAGCCAATGAGAGATACTTACCTTAGCCAATGAGAAATGCTAACCTTAGCCAATGAGAAATGCTAACCTTAGCCAATGAGAAATGCTAACCTTAGCCAATGAGAAATACTAACCTTAGCCAATGAGAAATACTAACTGATAGATTAATTTGTATTTTTAAGGTAATGACTAAAGGATTTCACCCCGAATACGGTATAAATGTGTTAACTGTATTAGAGTTATATGAAAATAAAACCACTAACAGGGAATCTGGGTAGAAACTGTTGGAGGCCAACATACCATAGTAAGGGGGGACTTAGAAACTGCTGAAAGCTATACAGTGGAAAGTCACAGGCTGCCCAGAGATACACATTCTCGTGACACTAACCTTAGCCAATGAGAGATACTAACCTTAGCCAATGAGAGATACTAACCTTAGCCAATGAGAGATACTAACCTTAGCCAATGAGAGATACTAACCTTAGCCAATGAGAGATACTAACCTTAGCCAATAAGAAGGCAGTGAGGGGCATTACTCCAAACTGGGCCACCACTGCAATGGCTATTCCTTTAGGTTTCAGGATGTGGGCCTTTAGAAATAGAATAATAACAATATTCATGTTATGAATAGGATATTTAATTTGTAAACATTTCACAAACCCTAAAACTGCTTTAATCACAAATAATAAACATCACATAAATTGATGAAAATAACCCCAAAAAGTCTGAAACAACCGGAAACTAGAGAACCAAACTAGAGATGAGCATCATCATGACCTTGATCTTGGACACCTCCATGGTACAGCCCAGTGAAACCATGGTGATGAAGAGGATGACTATGGTGGTGATGCTGATGGTCTGGTCTATTATCGGTGACAGGGAGGGGAAATGGGTTGGAGTGATGTTGAACAGTAAACTGTCATTGGACGACAGGTACTGATCAGAGAACACCCCCATGGCGGTGTCAATGGTGTCTTCCATTTATATTGTCTCTGGTGGGAGCCTGAGAGAGAGAGAGAGAGAGAGAGAGAGAGAGAGAGAGAGAGAGAGAGAGAGAGAGAGAGAGAGAGAGAGAAAAACATACGACATTATAAAATCCATGTACACAAACAACAAGTGTGCGGTTAAAATTGGCAAAAAACACACACATTTCTTTCCACAGGGCCGTGGGGTGAGACAGGGATGCAGTTTAAGCCCCACCCTCTTCAACATATATATCAACGAATTGGCGAGGGCACTAGAACAGTCTGCAGCACCCGGCCTCACCCTACTAGAATCTGAAGTCAAATGTCTTCTGTTTGCTGATGATCTGGTGCTTCTGTCACCAACCAAGGAGGGCCTACAGCAGCACCTAGATCTTCTGCACAGATTCTGTCAGACCTGGGCCCTGACAGTAAATCTCAGTAAGACAAAAATAATGGTGTTCCAAAAAAGGTCCAGTTGCCAGGACCACAAATACAAATTCCATCTAGACACCGTTGCCCTAGAGCACACAAAAAACTATACATACCTCGGCCTAAACATCAGCGCCACAGGTAACTTCCACAAAGCTGTGAACGATCTGAGAGACAAGGCAAGAAGGGCCTTCTATGGCATCAAAAGGAACATACAATTTGACATACCAATTAGGATCTGGCTAAAAATACTTGAATCAGTTATAGAACCCATTGCCCTTTATGGTTCTGAGGTCTGGGGTCCGCTCACCAACCAAGAATTCACAAAATGGGACAAACACCAAATTGAGACTCTGCATGCAGAATTCTGCAAAAACATCCTCCGTGTACAACGTAAAACACCAAATAATGCATGCAGAACAGAATTAGGCCAATACCCGCTAATTATCAAAATCCAGAAAAGAGCAGTTAAATTCTATAACCACTTAAAAGGAAGCGATTCCCAAACCTTCCATAACAAAGCCATCACCTACAGAGAGATGAACTTGGAGAAGAGTCCCCTAAGTAAGCTTGTCCTGGGCCTCTGTTCACAAACACAAACAGACCCCACACAGCCCCAGGACAACAACAACAACAACAACAACAACAACACAATTAGACCCAACCAAATCATGAGAAAACAAAAAGAGAATTACTTGACACATTGGAAAGAACAAACAAAAAAACAGAGCAAACTAGAATGCTATTTGGCCCTAAACAGAGAGTACACAGTGGCAGAATACCTGACCACTGTGACTGACCCAAACTTAAGGAAAGCTTTGACTATGTACAGACTCAGTGAGCATAGCCTTGCTATTGAGAAAGGCCGCCGTAGGCAGACCTGGCTCTCAAGAGAAGACAGGCTATGTGCACACTGCCCACAAAATGAGGTGGAAACTGAGCTGCACTTCCTAACCTCCTGCCAAATGTATGACCATATTAGAGACACATATTTCCCTCAGATTACAGCGATCCACAAAGAATTCGAAAACAAACCCAATTTTTATAAACTCCCTTATCTACTGGGTGAAAAACCACAGTGTGCCATCACAGCTGCAAGATTTGTGACCTGTTGCCACAAGAAAAGGGCAACCAGTGAAGAACAAACACCATTGTAAATACAACCCATATTTATGTTTATTTATTTTCCCATTTGTACTTTAACTATTTGCACATTGTTACAACACTGTATATATACATAATATGACATTTGAAATGTCTTTATTCTTTTGAAACTTCTGAGTGTAATGTTTACTGTTAATATTTATTGTTTATTTCACTTTTGTTTACTATCTACTTCCCTTGCTTTGGCAATGTTAACACACGTTTCCCATGCCAATAAAGCCCTTAAATTGAATTGAAATTGAAATTGAAATTGAATTGAATTGAATTGAATTGAGAGAGAGAGAGAGAGAGAGAGAGAGAGAGAGAGAGAGAGAGATAGAGAGAGAGAGAGAGAGAGAGAGAGAGAGAGAGAGAGAGAGAGAGAGAGAGAGAGAGAGAGAGAGAGAGAGAGAGACTGATTAAACACACAATAACTACCTAGAACAACTCTCCTACCTCTATTACTAGGTAGTCAATAAGAGTTTGCATTCATTCTTATTCATGCAAACTCTTAGAATTGCCATTTTAATACTATGGGAAACTTTAAAAGGGATGCACACGCACAACTTGTGCCAAAGTCTTGTGCAGGAGTGTTCGAGTGTTAACAATTATTCAACGGTTAAAGGAAGAAGCTCTTGGAAGCTTTAGAATGAAACTTTACAAGGGAGCAGTTGGCAGGAGCGATCTTCTTTTGAATGCATGGTATATTGTCATCCCTGCAGATATCAAACCTCATTTTAGCTGTGTTCTAGGTGTGCAATTCTAAGGTGAGAATAGGACACTGTCACATATGGGCTCTTTACAGTGGGCCTCTTTACAGTTGGTCTCTTTACAGTGGGCCTCTTCACTGTGGGCCTCTTTACAGTGGGCCTCTTCACAGTGGGCCTCTTTACATTGGGCCTCTTTACAGTTGGTCTCTTTACAGTGGGCCTCTTTACAGTGGGCCTCTTCACTGTGGGCCTCTTTACAGTTGGTCTCTTTACAGTGGGCCTCTTTACATTGGGCCACTTCACAGTGGGCCTCTTTACAGTGGGCCTCTTCACTGTGGGCCTCTTTACAGTTGGTCTCTTTACAGTGGGCCTCTTTACAGTAAGCCTCTTTACAGTGGGCCTCTTTACAGTGGGCCTCTTTACAGTGGGCCTCTTTACAGTAAGCCTCTTTACAGTGGGCCTCTTTACAGTGGGCTTCTTTACAGTGGGCCTCTACAGTGGGCCTCTTTACAGTGGGCCTCTTTACAGTAAGCCTCTTTACAGTGGGCTTCTTCACAGTGGGCCTCTACAGTAGGCCTCTTTACAGTGCCAATCTCTAGTGTGAACAGCATACAGCAGCATGATACCACACATTTCAAACTACACTATATTTCTCCTCTGAAAATGGAGTGAAATTATGAGTCTAACTGAGTCTAACTAAGTCCTACTAAATATTCTAATACAACTTTATAACAATCAATACCATATTTAGGGTATTGTCTTACCTTCTAGGAGTAGGTGGATATTCCTTCCGTGGTCTTTCCTCTCTGTGGTCTCTCTGTGTTGTGAAATGAAGTCGTTCTGTGCGACCACAGCCTTTAAAAGTGTATCCATGTTCCAAATGTGGCTAATTATTGCCAGAGTGAGAGTGGTAAATATCTGTCTGTGAAGCAGTCTTCTGGACCAGGATTATTATTATGTTCTCCTCCCCTCACCTGTTCCTCTTATCTCTGCTGTCTCCCTCCTGCACTGGATATCAGATCCTTTCTCACATTATTGGGGTGGGCCCAGGGCCAGTCAGGTGTGTGTGTGTGTGTGTGTGTGTGTGTGTGTGTGTGTGTGTGTGTGTGTGTGTGTGTGTGTGTGTGTGTGTGTGTGTGTGTGTGTGTGTGTGTGTGTGTGTGTGTGTGTGTGTGTGTGTGTGTGTGTGTGTGTGTGTTTAAGAAGTCCTAAAATGGAAAACATATTGTAGTGTAGTGTGGTATTGTAGTATTGTCTAGTATTGTAGTGTAATATTGTAGTACAGTCATCTGATAATCCCTACTCGGCCTTAAACCCAGGACCTTGCAAACTGTCAACTGTCAAACCTTAGCTGTTACGCCAAGAGATCCGAACCTTTTGATGGTCTCTGTGTGTAAGGCTAAGGTTGCTACAGTATGTTAACCTTGAAAGTTGTGTGATATGTTTACTACCCTGATTGTAGCACCATCTAGTGTTTACTACCCTGATTGTAGCACCATCTAGTGTTTACTACCCTGATTGCAGATGAAAAAATATGTAAGCAGTAGTATTAATACATAAATATTCAATACTGGACTGCTGCCAATTTAATATTTTTTTCATTCAATGCCACCTTGAAGAATCCCACAAAAATCACAAAAACAATGTTTTTTTTGTAGATTGCACCCACTTCCCTCACAATTTGTAGTTTGTTATTAGTCTTATTCAGAACATCTACAAAGAATCTGAAAGAATCTGGTCCAGAAACTCAGTAAATCACAAAACTACTTTACCCAGTATCCAATGCCCTAGAATAGATCACATCACAGTTCTTTCCCCCTCATCTCTCCCCTATTCATAAGTCATGCCACAGACTACAATAGCAGTACAAAAACACCCCTTCACGATTGTCTGAATACTGGGGCCTTCGCCGTCCACTGTGGGCTCTGCAGATGTGGAGAGGGAGGAGGTGGGGGACAAGAGAATGGCTTTTTAAAACTTGGTCTATATGGTCTGTGTTGAACCTTTATGGGCGGGGGGGAGGGGAGGCCTGGCTCGCTGGCCCCTCTAGCTGGACTGACTGACCAGCCTCCCTGTGGTTACAGACCAGTGGTAGACATGCCTGGGTTTAATTACCCTCACCTCCTCCACCCACTTCTCTCTAGAGAGAGGAGAGAGAGAGCGAGAGCTAGAGCGAGAGTAGAGCGATAGTCTTCTCAGCTCTGCTCTATAGTATTCTCGAGATCTACTCCTCTCTCTTCTCTCTCTCTCTCTCTCTCTTCTCTCTCTCTCTCTCTATCTCTCTCTTTTCATTCTCTGCTTGCGTCAGCCTAGGCCAATCAATGGTTGCCACTGACTGGGGTTTTGCATAAACCTCTGCAGTCTGCCCGTCACAGACTGGGAGTGATAAAATTGATCATAACTCAGACATCATGGAGGGTGGAGGCATCAAAGGTGGTAAGCATGCCCTAAGGCAAGGCTATTGGGCGATGCGAGCATGGGAGAGGCAGTGTGAACAGGGTGGGACCAAAGTTGGGGAAAGCTGAACTTTATGCAAATACTCTGCGATATTGCATCCCGGGCTCCCGAGTGGCGCAGTGATCTAAGGCACTGCATCTCAGTGCTTGAGGCGTCACTACAGACCCCCCTGGTTCGATTCCAGGCTGTATCACAAACAGCCGTGATTGGGAGTCCCATAGGGCGGCGCACAATTGGCCCAGCGTCGTCCGGGTTTGGCCGGTGTAGGCCGTCATTGTAAATAAGAATTTGTTCTTAACTGACTTGCCTAGTTAAATAAAGGTCAAATAAATAAATAAAATAAAAGCCCTTACTGGGTTGGCTGTTGATACCTAGCACTAGCTAGCACGCTTGCTAGCTTGCGAACACCCAGATGAGGGCGAAGCTAGCCTGGTTAGTGGAAATCCCCCGTTAGGGTTAGCATTATGTCAGGTAGTTCTGTATTACTGCTGAACCTTGTTGAATCTTCAATGTGATTGCTTAATGTAAAAACCATGTCACCGAACAAACATGACTGTACACTTACACAATGCTTTGTCTACTACCCATGATTTATCTTAAAGTGAAACAACACTCAAATCGTTATTTTTTATTCAAAGAGAGCTGAACAACTATAAGTTTTGTGAAGGAACGAACATGCTCCTCCTGTCCAGAATAGCACATGTCACATGTACATACAGAACAGAGGAGGATAGACTGTGTCTCAAATGGCATGTTATTCCCTACATAGTGCACTCTTTTTGAGCAGAGCCCTATGGTTCCATTTGGTACGCAGATATATATATATATAGAGTGGTTCCGCAGCGCTGCCTGAATGCATTATTAAGGCCTTTTGTGTTGTCCTCCCTCTAAATGGGTTATAATGACATGCTGCTATGGCACTCTAACTGGGTGACCCTGTTTAGTCCACAGCCTAATGCACCCTGCTGCTGCTGTGGGTCGGGGCTAAAGAGGGAGGGAGGGAGGGAGGGAGGGAGGGAAAGAGAGAGAGAGAGAGGGAGGATGGGGGTCACTGTGGGTGTGTAAGTGGTTGGTGGGGGTGTCATTGGCAGCTGCCCTCCTGACCTGCTGGGGAATGGATCCTGCTCTCCCTGTGCTTGTTTTTACAGATTTGCTGATCCACTGTTGCAGAAGCTCAAATAATCCACTGTGTAAGCTCTTTATCTAGACTAGAGCACAATTTTGTGGAGGAAAAAAAGCCTAGATTATTCCCTATTTACTCAGCGGCAGGGCTGCCCCCACAAACTTTATGTGGAGAAGGGGAGCTTAATACACTCTTAGAAAAAATGGTTCCAAAAGGGTTATTTGCGGAGGGATAGGGTTCTACCATGAACAGTTTTGATCAGAATAACCCTTTTTGGAAGAGAAGGGTTCTTTTGTAAGGCAAAGGGTTCTACCTAGAACCTTTAACATCCTAAGAACTGTTTTTGGAAGAAATTGTTCTTTAATGATTATTTTGAAAGCAAGAAGGATTCCTTGTAAGGCAAATTCTACATACAGTTAGGGAAAAAAGTATTTGATCCCCTGCTGATTTTGTACGTTTGCCCACTGACAAAGAAATGATCAGTCTATCATTTTAATGGTAGGTTTATTTGAACAGTGAGACACAGAATAACAACAACAAAAATCCAGAAAAACGCATGTCAAAAATGTTATAAATGTATTAGCATTTTAATGAGGGAAATAAGTATTTGACCCCTCTGCAAAACATGACTTAGTACTTGGTGGCAAAACCCTTGTTGGCAATCACAGAGGTCAGACCTTTCTTGTAGTTGGCCACCAGGTTTGCACACATCTCAGGAGGGATTTTGTCCCACTCCTCTTTGCAGATCTTCTCCAAGTCATTAAGGTTTCGAGCCTGACGTTTGGCAACTCCAACCTTCAGCTCCCTCCACAGATTTTCTATGGGATTCAGGTCTGGAGACTGGCTAGGCCACTCCAGGACCTTAATGTGCTTCTTCTTGAGCCACTCCTTTGTTGCCTTGGCCGTGTGTTTTGGGTCATTGTCATGATGGAATACCCATCCACGACCCATTTTCAATGCCCTGGCTGAGGGAAGGAGGTTCTCACCCAAGATTTGACGGTACATGGCCCCGTCCATCGTCCCTTTGATGCGGTGAAGTTGTCCTGTCCCCTTAGCAGAAAAACACCCCCAAAGCATAATGTTTCCACCTCCATGTTTGACGGTGGGGATGGTGTTCTTGGGGTCATAGGCAGCATTCCTCCTCCTCCTAACACGGCGAGTTGAGTTGATGCCAAAGAGCTCCATTTTGGTCTCATATGACCACAACACTTTCACCCAGTTCTCCTCTGAATCATTCAGATGTTCATTGGCAAACTTCAGACGGGCCTGTATATGTGCTTTCTTGAGCAGGGGGACTTTGCAGGCGCTGCAGGATTTCAGTACTTCACGGCGTAGTGTGCTACCATTTGTTTTCTTGGTGACTATGGTCCCAGCTGCATGGAGATCATTGACAAGATCCTCCCGTGTAGTTCTGGGCTGATTCCTCACCGTTCTCATGATCATTGCAACTCCACGAGGTAAGATCTTGCATTGAGCCCCAGGACGAGGGAGATTGACAGTTCTTTTGTGTTTCTTCCATTTGCGAATAATCGCACCAACTGTTGTCACCTTCTCACCAAGCTGCTTGGCGATGGTCTTGTAGCCCATTCCAGCCTTGTGTAGGTCTACAATCTTGTCCCTGACATCCTTGGAGAGCTCTTTGGTCTTGGAATCTGATTGATTGATTGCTTCTGTGGACAGGTGTCTTTTATACAGGTAACAAGCTGAGATTAGGAGCACTCCCTTTAAGAGTGTGCTCCTAATCTCAGCTCGGTACCTGTATAAAAGACACCTGGGAGCCAGAAATCTTTCTGATTGAGAGGGGGGTCAAATACTTATTTCCCTCATTTAAAATGCAAATCAATTTATAACATTTTTGACATGCGTTTTTCTGCATTTTTTTTGTTGTTATTCTGTCTCTCACTGTTCAAATAAATTTACCATAAAAATTATAGACTGATCATTTCTTTGTCAGTGGGCAAACGTACAAAATCAGCAGGGGATCAAATACTTTTTTCCCTCACTGTAGAACCATATATAATATTTCCTAGCACACTCTATTGCAGGTTGCAGGTGTTTAATAATTCCACTTGTTGGATAACCTAACTCTGGCTGCATTCCAATAGGAATTACACATCACTTTGCAGACCTGATGTGGCCTGTAAACCAGGAGATTCTTAACGCACTCAAATAAAGGCCTTATGATATACAGTACCAGTCAAAAGTTTGGACACATATACTCATTGAAGGGTTTTTCTTTATTTATTTTTTTACTATTTTCTACATTGTAGAATAACAGTGAAGATGTCATAACTATGAAATAACACATATGGAATCATGTAGTAACCAAAAAAGTGTTAAACAAATCAAAATATATTTTATATTTGAGATTCTTCAAAGTATCCACCCTTTGCCTTGATGACAGCTTTGCACACTCTTGGCATTCTCTTAACCAGCTTGATGAGGTAGTCACCTGGAATGCATTTCAATCAACAGGTGTGCCTTGTTAAAAGTTAATTTGTGGAATTTCTTTCCTTCTTAATGCGTTTTAGCCAATCAGTTGTGTTGTGACAAGGTAGGGGTGGTATACAGAAGATAGCCCTATTTGGTAAAAGACCATGTCCATATTATGGCAAGAACAGCTCAAATAAGCAAAGAGAAATGACAGTCCATCATTACTTTAAGACATGAAGGTCAGTGAATCCGGAACATTTCAAGAACTTTGAAAGTTTCTTCAAGTGCAGTCGCAAAAACCATCAAGCGCTATGATGAAACTGGCTCTCATGAGAACCGCCACAGGAATGGAAGACCCAGAGTTACCTCTGCTGCAGAGGATACATTTGTTAGACTTAATTGCAACTCAGATTGCAGCCCAAATACATGCTTCACAGAGTTCAAGTAACAGACACATCTCAACATCAACAGTTCAGAGGAGACTGCGTGAATCAGGCCTTCATGGTCGAATTGCTGCAAAGAAACCACTACTAAAGGACACCAATAAGAAGAAGAGACCTGCTTGGGCCAAGAAACACGAGCAATGGACATTAGACCGGTGGAAATCTGTCCTTTGGTCTGATCAGTCCAAATTTGAGATTTTTGGTTCCAACCACCGTGTCTTTGTGAGACGCAAAGTAGGTGAACGGATGATCTCCGCATGTGTGGTTCCCACCGTGAAGCATGGAGGAGGAGGTGTGATGGTGCTTTGCTGGTGACACTGTCTGTGATTTATTTAGAATTCAAGGCACACTTAACCAGCATGGCTACCACAGCATTCTGCAGCGATACGCCATCCCAACTGGTTTGCGCTTAGTGGGACTATAATTTGTTTTTCAACAGGACAATGACCCAAAACACACCTCTGGGCTGTGTAAGGGCTATTTGACCAAGAAGGAGAGTGATGGAGTGCTGCATCAGATGACCTGGCCTCCACAATTACCCGACCTCAACCCAATTGAGATGGTTTGGGATGAGTTGGACCGCAGAGTGAAGGAAAAGCTCGGCAAACAAGTGCTCAGCATATGTGGAAACTCCTTCAAGACTGTTGGAAAAGCATTGTAATGTAATGTCATAAAATTTTTTATTTTAAAGGCTAGTAAGGCTGTTGGAACCGTTCATAGAGTGTTCTAGGAAGAACTCTCCAAAGATAAAAGTGTTCTCTGTAGAACTAGGCACAATCCTTCATAGAGGGTTTTAGGTAGAAGCATATAAAGGGGGTTCTTTGAGGAACCCTACATGGAAGGTTCTAGATAGAACCCTCTGCAAAGGGTTCTACCCAGCACCAAAAAGGGTTCCCCTATGGGGACAAACCGAAGAACCCTGTATGTTTCTACTAAGCACCTTTAGTTGACCTTAATGAAATGAGTGTAGTTGACCTCAATGAAAAATACATTCATTTCAAATAAGGAAACATTCTAAACTTGATTTTTTAAAAATCCATTCAATCAATAGTCTTTAATAGATGCAATTCAATGCACAGTTGCCGAGGGAAGATGGGTTGATTGCGTTGATTGTGTGACTGCGGATGTCGAATCAAGGAACACCGAGAGCGTTTTCTTCCAGCTATCCCCTTCTTACTGGAGCAGATATGAAGTGTGTGTACGGAGTCTCCTGCTATCGCCAAATAGAAGCTAAGTCCCTGAAGGTCAGACTGGCTGACGTCACCAGGGAGACGGTCTAGAAAAGTGTGTGTGTCTTCAGTCGAGTGCCTCTGTACAGTCTTTTCCAAGCTAAACTACAGCTCATCACACACGCCTACTTTGAGGAGAAAGACTTCTCACAGATATCTATATTTAAGGAGTTGTATGAACACATAAACAGCTCTCTAAGAGGGATGGCTGGTATCCCAAGTGTTCCTGGGTATGTCACTATGATTTAATACTGCACTTTCTACACAAGGTTCTGATCCTTTTCAAACGGATTCTGCTGGAGAAGAAGGTTCTGTTCTACGTGTCTCCAGTCAACAAGCTAGTAGGAGCTCTGATGACAGTACTGTCACTGTTCCCAGGTATGATAGAGCACGGCCTGGCTGACTCCTCCCACTACCAGCCCAAGAGCAGCGTCTCAGAGGATATCAGTCTGGTAGACTGTGTTGAGGGGCCGAGGTGTTCGTCTCTGTTTCCGTCACTGACATCACCAAACGCTACCATGGAGCTAGTGAAGGAGCAGGACCAGACCACCTCCACCATGAAGGCCTCACAGAGGACATCGCCTTCCCCAGAGACCTCCACCCCAGCTAGGGAGAACACCCACCTGAAGCCCCCCTCCCGGACCTCCCCGGACTCCTTGGAAAGCGACTGGGAGACACTGGACCCCAGTGTGCTGGAGGAAGGGACTAGAGACTCCGAGACAGGGGGTTTAGGTTTGGGAGGGTTCAGGGGGCCTGGAGCACCCAGAGACGTTTGACCTGGAGACAGGTATCCCCATCACGGTGCAACCTCGTGGCTTGTCAGCAGGGCCAGGGGGCCAGGGAGCCATCACTCAGGGCTTGGTGTCTGTACTGGAAGAGGACTAGTATGGCCTGCCACTCGCCATCTTTACCAAGGGTTACCTGTGCCTGCCCTACATGGCCTTGCAGCAGCACCACCTGCTGTCAGACGTCACGGTGAGCGGCTTTGTCGCCGGGGCAACCAACATCCTCTTCCGTCAGCAGAGGCACCTGAGTGACGCAATCGTTGACGTGAGTCTTGCGCTCCCTCTCTCTCCATCTCTTCTCTCGCTCCATCTCATCTCTCTCTCCCTCGCTCTCGTCTCTCCATCCCTTCTCTCTCATCTCTCCATCTCTCTCCCTCTCTCTCCATCTCGTCTCTCTCCATCTCTTCTCTCTCCATCTCTCCTCTCTCCAGCAGCATACAACCCTGCATCCCACTGCTGGCTTCAAATAAAATAAAATACAATTGTATTTGCCACATGCGCCGAATACAACAGGTGTAGACATTACCGTGAAATGCTTACTTACAGCCCTTAACCAACAATGCATTTATTTTTTAATTAAAAAGTAAAATAAAACAACAACAACAAAAAAGTGTTGAGAAAAAAAGAGCAGAAGCGTGCCTCTGAAGCTTAGCAGGGTTGGTCCTGGTCAGTCTCTGGATGGGAGACCAGATGCTACTGGAAGTGGTGTTGGAGGGCCAGTAGGAGGCACTGTTTCCTCTAGTCTAAAAATAATAATATCCCAATGCCCCCATGGCAGTGATTGGGAACATTGCCCTGTGTAGGGCGCTGTCTTTTGGATGGGACCTTTAAAAGGTTGTCCTGACTCTCTGTGGTCACATGGCACTTATTGTAAATTCCCAATCTGGCCCTTATACCATCATGGCCACCTAATCATCTCCAGCTTCCAATTGGCTCATTCATCCCCCTTTATCTCCCCTGTAACTATTCCCCAAGTCCTTGCTGTAAATGAGAATGTGTTCTCAGTCAACTTACCTGGTAAAATAAGGGTTAAAAAAAAAAAAAATGTATAACATTTGTTACAAAGAAAGAAATTAGATAGTGTTCAGCATTGACATTATGAGAGAAGCCGATATTACTATTGTAGCGATCCACGTGTCTCAATCGTTGCCCACTGGCTCAGCTATTATCCAGACTACACATCCCAGCGTACACCGCGAGGTAAATAGAACGATTTTGACGTTATTCTGACGCGCGGCACACTTTTTTACTAATGGGTAATGTAGTTTATAGACAAGCCACTGGTATTTGAGAGTCGTCTGTTATTACCCTACAATAAACTACAAATCCTATACACCCGTACAGCGTCGCAGGCGTGTCGCCGAACGGTTGCTGTCCGTGTAGACAAGTCACATGTAAATATAGTTCGTTGAAGCTCGTTTCTTTCGTTCTTGACTGCAGGGAGAGTAACGTTAGTTAGTCTGTTTGTTTTTATCGTTAGGCGTTTGCTTCATGTTGTGAACTAGGCTACCCCTTTCATTTTAAAAGCCACAATTTCACCGAAGAATGAGTGATAACGATGATATCGAAGTCGATAGTGACGTGAGTAAATGTTTATTTCATTACTTTGCTAGCTACTGTATGTAGTTAGTTTGCTAGCTAGCTATCCATTAAAACGCCTCGTATTTTCGAGCCCGTGACTTCTAGCTAACGTTAGTTCGCTAGTAACTGGTAGTGAACTAACGCGTTATCCACAAGAAGAGCAACAGCCTATAAAAGGTTAGCTAGCGAGTTAGATCGGTCAACTAGTAGCTAGCAGTGCTGGCTCAGACATGTATGATGTTCACGTGTTAACTACATATATTTTTTTGCATTGGGTTTGCTGCAATTATGGGGTTAAAATGGAGTGTTAACTAAGTTGGCTAGCTAGCTCACGCTACATGGAATTGTGGCTACAATCGTACTTTTCTGTTCTGTTTCTTTTTACAGGAAGACTCATCGAGATATCACAATGTGGTGCGTAATGAAGTGTTAAATATATCAAAAATATTGGAATTCTATCAAATGTATTGAAATTATGCCATGATCATATCTGGCTGAAAATAATGTTCGCGCTGGTAGCTACTGTATATTATATACTTTGGCCTTACACAAACTTAACAAGTGATGGTGGGGATGGATGCGGAATAGAAGGGGTTTCCTGCAGTTAGTGAACGAGAAGAAATCAAGCTTAGTAGTTTATTGCATGCAAAGTTAGCCACACACTCAAAAATAATAGGACATTGCACACAAGGAGGATGTAGCTAGCAGCCAGAATACACGGAGTTAGATGAACGCTGTGGGTTTGGATAGGAGCTGGCACTGTCGTGTCACAACTATGATTTACCCTTTACATAATGTATGCAATATATCTATCAAGCAATCAAGGTTTTCATTTGCACAGATAATATAAGCCATGCATTGAAGGGTATCCCCCCATCACATACGCGGCCATAGGGAGTTAGAGACACACGGAATCTATATGCTATATTTAGAATAACGCCTCCTGCAAAACGCAGCTTAAAAAAGTAAAAATACCATTCTCGACCAGATGCGCCTTTTCTAAATCCACTTCTAGGTCATATGTTTAATCATGACTTGACTATTGCAACTAAATATAAATGCGATACTTTTCAAATGGAATTTCATTTAGTTGGCTACACGCCTCGGCTTCAGCTCAGTAACTGTTCAGTAAATGACGACGTCGTCTTGTCAGGAAGAGAGAGGGCAGGGAGCCACTGCTAGATGTTTTCCTGTCTGTTTCATCTAGCTAGTGATTAGTGCCATCTTTACTCGACAGGCCACTGACTGGGCTGTCCGCAGGCTAAAGGAATGACGTAGCCACGTCGCATACCGGCGAAAAAAACACAGGGTTGCTGCACGAAAATACTTTTGCATAACAGCACGTCATGTTTTTCCCTTGTCAGCCAGCCACTCTTTATCAAACTGATTCATATGGACTTAATTAACATTTAGCTGCAGAATGTTATCTCAAAATAATAAATATTTATAATTTAGGCAGGGCTTTTTCATATTTGGCAAGGTTTATCTCCAAATATTACAAATTACTATGTGATATTCAAATCAATTATGTAGCTTGGCCTATCCTTAAAAATGTAGGACCGTTTTGATGAAGATTGGACTATCAGAACAATTGGGCTGACGTGTTTAGCACATCTCACTTTCAAGCAATTTATAAAACAATCTTTCTATGTTAACCTCACAAATTTGTCTCATGCATCTAAAACCTGAGAATTGGCGACACATCTGCGATATTATATTTAGTTTAGTTTTCACATAGTTAACTTAGACATACTGGCTCCTGGATTTTTTTTTCTTCAAAATAATTGAAAATGAAATAGAGAAATATGTCATTTACATAAGTATTCACACAATACATTATAGCTGTGATTTAAAGCTGTGAGTCTTTCAGGGTAAGTCTTTAAGAGCTTTTCACACCTGGATTGTGCAATATTTTTTTCGAAATTCTTGAAGCTCTGTCAAATTGTTTGTTGATCATTGCTAGACAACCATTTCCAAGTCTTGCAACAGATTTTCAAGCAGATTTAAGTCAAAACTGTAACTTGGCCACTCAGGAACATTGACTCTTCTTGGTAAGCAACTCCAGTGTAGATTTGGCTTTGTGTTTTAGGTTATTGTCCTGCTGAAGGGTGAATTCATCTCCCAGTGTCTGGTGGAAAGCAGACTGAACCAGGTTTTCCTATAGGATTTTGCCTGTGCTTAGCTCCATTCTGTTTATTTTTTATCTGGAAAAACTCCCAGTACTTAACGATTACAAGCATACCCATAACACGATACAGCCACCACTATGCTTGAAAATATGGAGTGGTACTCAATAAGGTGTTGTATTGGATTTGCCCCAAACATAACACTTTGCATTCAGGACAAAAGGTTAATTGCTTTGCCACATGTTTTGTATTACTTTAGTGCCTTGTTGTAAACAGGATGCATGTTTTAGAATATTTGTGATCTGTACAGGCTTCCTTCTTTTCACTCTGTCAATTAGGTTAGTATTGTGGAGTAACTACAATGTTGTTGGTCCATCCTCAGTTTTCTCCTATCACAGCTATTAAACTCTGTAACTGTTTTAAAGCCACCATTGGCCTCATGGTGAAATCCCTGAGCGGTTTCCTTCCTCTCCGGCAACTGAGTTAGGAAGGACGCCTGTATCTTTGAAGGGACTGGGTGTATTGATACACCATCCAAAGTGTAATTAATAACTACACCATGCTGAAAGGGATATTCAATATCTGCTTCTTTTTTTTTACCCATCTACCAATAGGTGCCCTTCTTTGCGAAACATTGGAAAACCTCCTTGGTCTTTGTGGTTGAATCTGTGTTTGAAATGCCCTGCTCGACTGAGGGACCTTACAGATAATTGTATGTGTGGGGTACAGAGGTGAGGTAGTCACTCAATCATGTTAAACACTGTTATTGCAGACAGTGAGTCCGTGCAACTTACTATGTCACTGAACATAACAAAGGGTTTGAATAATTATTGACTAAAGACATTTCGGCTTTACATTTTATTAATTTGTAAACATTTTGAAAAACATAATTCCACTGTGACATTATAGGGGATTGTGTGTAGGCCAGTGACAAAACAAATAATCTTGATTTAATCCCATTTTAAATTCAGGCTGTAACACTACAAAATGTGGAAAAAGTCAAGGGGTGTGAATACTTTCTGAAGGCCCTGTAATGTTTATGTTCTGTGGTGAGAATATAATTGAAGTGATAGGTCTAGCTAAGCTTACTAGCATCAGCTGAAACGAAGCCATTGAGAAGAATCACATGCGCCAAATACAACATATGTAGACTTTACCGTGAAATGCTTACTTAACGCGCCCTTTCCCAACACTGCAGAGGTAAAAAGTAAAACATTTGCTATATAAAAAAGTGAATAGTAACACAATAAAATAACAATATCGAGGCTATATACAAGGAGTACCGGTACCGAGTCAATGTGCAGGGGTACCAGGTAGTTGAGGTAGTATCTACATGTAGGTAGGGGTAAAAGTGACCCCTATGTGAGTTTTATGATCAGATGTCGTGATGATATTTGATGACCCAGATGCTATGCTCTTTTCTTTCTATGTTTTGTGGAAATGACTAACTCAACGGATATGCATCAACCTCAAGCAAAATATTGTCATTAGATGGGCCTAGATATACATTTCAATGGTAACTAATGCCTAGCGTACAGTACCCCCTGTCTGCACACCGGTTTCTGATATCACTGGATCCTCTTACAGGGTTCAGCTATTATGGCAGCCATTTTGGAGCCTACGCTGCTTTACAGTTCCTCTCTCTATAGCCCCTAATGCATTTACAGGGTCCGACATTAACGATGGCCCGGGGCCTGTAAACACGTGCTGGGCCAGTGGATCTCGTCAGTCACTGGCCCGCCTGGGCCAGTAACTTCTACACACACTTCTGCGTTCCAGTTCAACATTTACCTGCTCTGTCATAGTCTACCATGGAAAACCCATTGATGACCACACTTAAAACTACAGGATCCAGACCCTAGGACAAACTATTGGGCAGTGGACAGCTGCTGTATCCTGGGCCCGGGGTTAGTCCCAGACTCTTTATGCATTCCTTGTCATGGAGAGAGTTGGTGGTGATTTCATGGGGCTTTCTATGCTAATGTTACTCTCACACGGTCACTGTCCTGGCCTAACCCTGTAGACTCCAGGCAAGTTAGAACCAAAACAACACCCTTTCCAGTAACCTTTTATGGTGCCATTGCATCTGACATTTGGCTAGTACCGTAGTTTCGTTATGATGCATAGGATTATAAATGAGTCAGGGTGGGAGCTACTGTTTCCTGGCCTGAAACAAGTTCAACGACTGCTAGTGCTGCTGCAGGTGACTGGCTGCTCTACTCTGGGCCTAGCCCTAGTCATGTGAGAAGGGTCGGTGGCCATTTTGTTTTTATCTCTGATCTGAGCTTAAGGCTAAAACGCTGTGAGTGTTTACATTCAACTTTGAACAAACAAAGGGCCCACTAGAGAGAAGAGAAAAAAAAGTAGTCACTGTTTGCTGCTCTAATAATAAAAGTTATTGGTGATGGATACAGATACGGAGAGGGTTTGACAGGCCTGTCTTTGGTCGTGTCTACACTTGACACTTACATGCGACTTCTGCTATCAGAATACGAAGATTACATTGAAAAGATGGGGTCTAGATGCACAAAAGTTGCTTTGTTGGTCTGATTGTGTTCAGGTCTGGCTGACCACTTCAGGAGGTGGTCAGGGATGCATTGTGTGCTGATTTCTCCTAAGTATGGACGCAATCAGGCTACCGAAAGCGCATACAGTGGGCGACGTCATCAGCACGCCTCCCACAAGTCTCCAGAAAATTTACATTTTGGGACCGAGAGGCACCGTTTCATTATAACGTGGGAACATTTGTTTCTAGCGTGTGAGGAACGTGTTTGCTGGCCTCACAAATTCTAGCTAATATTTAGAAAAAGTATTTTTTGTTTGACTAGAGTTATGCTAACCCGTTTGCAATGCCTTTAGTGTTGCTTGCTGGCTAGCTACAGAGGTTAGCCGGCTAGTTAGCTACAGTAGTTAGCTACAGTAGTTGTTGTTGTTGTTATGTAATCATATTTTGCCTGGTCCACGTTTTGTAGAATGCATACTGGCATTTGAATATAGCGCGGGAAAAGGGAATCCGGACACACTGTGGACCCAGTAGACACATTTTTACATGTAGGTGTAGATGCATGACACATTTGGAATTCCATGATCAGAACTGTATGATTTAGAATACTAAAGCTGTATGAACTGTCAAGTCTAGACACGGCCTGAGGATGTTGGACGGGCCTGACGGAGTCCCTCGGAGCAGTAGGTCTATTTAGTGGCTGAGGGATGTTTTCTATATTGTTCCGTCTGTGTGTAAAGAGACATGAAATGACTGTCTGCCTCCCAAATTGGAACCCTATTCCCTAGATAGTGCACTACCTTTGACCAGAGCCCTATTGGCCCTGGTCAAAAGTAGTGTGCTACATAGGGAATAGGGTTCCATTTGGGATGCAGACTGTGTGTTTAGGTAGATGATTCACCTGAGGCCCTGGCAGCAGTATGGAGTGGCTGAGGGAGGCAGGATGGAGGGCTCTCTGTTCTTCTGTCTGTGTCTATATAGAGACATACAACAATACTAGTTGTGTTTTAGGTACAGTGAGGGGAAAAAGTATTTGATCCCCTGCTGATTTTGTACGTTTGCCCACTGACAAAGAAATGATCAGTCTATAATTTTAATGGTAGGTTTATTTGAACAGTGAGAGACAGAATAACAACAACAAAATCCAGAAAAACGCATGTAAAAAATGTTATAAATTGATTTGCATTTTAAATGAGGGAAATAAGTATTTGACCTCCCTCTCAATCAGAAAGATTTCTGGCTCCCAGGTGTCTTTTATACAGGTAACGAGCTGAGATTAGGAGCACACTCTTAAAGGGAGTGCTCCTAATCTCAGCTTGTTACCTGTATAAAAGACACCTGTCCACAGAAGCAATCAATCAATCAGATTCCAAACTCTCTCAAAGAGCTCTCCAAGGATGTCAGGGACAAGATTGTAGACCTACACAAGGCTGGAATGGGCTACAAGACCATCGCCAAGCAGCTTGGTGAGAAGGTGACAACAGTTGGTGCGATTACTCGCAAATGGAAGAAACACAAAAGAACTGTCAATCTCCCTCGGCCTGGGGCTCCATGCAAGATCTCACCTCGTGGAGTTGCAATGATCATGAGAACAGTGAGGAATCAGCCCAGAACTACACGGGAGGATCTTGTCAATGATCTCAAGGCAGCTGGGACCATAGGCACCAAGAAAACGATTGGTAACGCACTATGCCGTGAAGGCCTGAAATCCTGCAGCGCCCGCAAGGTCCCCCTGCTCAAGAAAGCACATATACAGGGCCGTCTGAAGTTTGACAATGAACATCTGAATGATTCAGAGGAGAACTGGGTGAAAGTGTTGTGGTCAGATGAGACCAAAATCGAGCTCTTTGGCATCAACTCAACTCGCCGTGTTTGGAGGAGGAGGAATGCTGCCTATGACCCCAAGAACACCATCCCCACAGTCAAACATGGAGGTGGAAACATTATGCTTTGGGGGTGTTTTTCTGCTAAGGGGACAGGACAACTTCACCACATCAAAGGGACGATGGACGGCGCCATGTACCGTCAAATCTTGGGTGAGAACCTCCTTCCCTCAGCCAGGGCATTGAAAATGGGTCGTGGATGGGTATTCGAGCATGACAATGACCCAAAACACATGGCCAAGGCAACAAAGGAGTGGCTCAAGAAGAAGCACATTAAGGTCCTGGAGTGGCCTAGCCAGTCTCCAGACCTTAATCCCATAGAAAATCTGTGGAGGGAGCTGAAGGTTCGAGTTGCCAAACGTCAGCCTCGAAACCTTAATGACTTTGAGAAGATCTGCAAAGAGTGGGACAAAATCCCTCCTGAGATGTGTGCAAACCTGGTGGCCAACTACAAGAAAGGTCCTCTGTGATTGCCAACAAGGGTTTTGCCACCAAGTACTAAGTCATGTTTTGCAGAGGGGTCAAATACTTATTTCCCTCATTAAAATGCAAATCAATTTCTAACATTTTTGACATGCGTTTTTCTGGATTTTGTTGTTGTTATTCTGTCTCTCACTGTTCAAATAAACCTACCATTAAAAATATAGACTGATCATGTCTTTGTCAGTGGGCAAACGTACAAAATCAGCAGGGGATCAAATACTTTTTTCCCTCACTGTAGGTGATCCCCACAAGATGTCTGCTGTTCTCTGTTTGCGTAACCTTTAGGTGATCCACACTAGACGGCAGATCACAGGGATAATTAGGTTTGTGTTCAGAACAACAGACTATACACAGAGTATACCCCCCCAAAAGCATTCCACAGGGATGCTGGTCCATGTTGACTCCAATACTTCCCACAGTTGTCAAGTTGGCTGGATGTCCTTTGGGTGGTGGACCATTCTTGATACACACGGAAAGCTGTTGAGCGTGGAAAAACCCGGCAGTGTTGCAGTTCTTCTCAGAAACCGGTGCGCCTGGCACCTACTACCGTACCCCGTTCAAAGGCACTTAAATATTTGATCTTTCCCATTCACCCTCTGAATGGCACACATACACAATCCATGTCTCAATTGTTTCAAGGCTTAAACATCCTTCTTTTAACCTGTCTCCTTCCCTTCATCTACACTGATTAATGACATTAATAAGGGATCACAGACTGACCAGGTGAAAGCTATGTCATGGAAAGAGCAGGTGTTCCTAATGTTTTTTTATACTCTGTGTATATTAGCATGAGCCCAAACCGCAGCCAAACTGGAGCAGAGCTTAAAAGACTGGTAGGCCTTTAGAATACATAACAACAAAATATATAGATTGAAGACACATTTCACTGTGTAAGAACACACCAAAATCTGTAAATTCATCAATCCAAATGCATCCCCCCAAGATACAGTGCCAAATACAACGCCTCAGGGTATTAAATAATTAAATAATAATAACATTCCTAAACCAGAACAGAACTCCTATTAGTTTGTCAGTTAGGCCTAGTTGTCAGGTGTATGCAAATTAGGAACTGTAAAACTAAAAACACGAAGTCACCATTTTACCCCTCACCCACCTCTCCTCTCACCCCAATCTGAATGGGGTTAGTGTCTTTCTCCAGCCTGCCCCCCCCCCCCCCCCGGGCTTTATCTAGGTCACAGCCCCACCACTCGTCCTGGCCTAGAGTGGTCTGCATGTTCACTCCGCACAGTTAGAGCTGCACTGAGGTCAGTTCTAGTCACTGTAGGGGATTTAGGGTGGTGCCAGTGTTACTTTACCAGTTGTAGAAATAAAGAGAACCATATAAATTAATGTAGAATAGAATCATAAATACATATTCTAGATCCATATGAATTAATGTAGAATAGAATCATAAATACATATTCTAGATCCATATGAATTAATGTAGAATAGAATCATAAATACATATTCTAGATCCATATGAATTAATGTAGAATAGAATCATAAATACATATTCTAGATCCATATGAATTAATGTAGAATAGAATCATAAATACATATTCTAGATCCATATGAATTAATGTAGAATAGAATCATAAATACATTCTAGATACATATGAATTAATGTAGAATATAATCATAAATACATATTCTAGATCCATATGAATTAATGTAGAATAGAATCATAAATACATTCTAGATCCATATGAATTAATGTAGAATAGAATCATAAATACATTCTAGATACATATGAATTAATGTAGAATAGAATCATAAATACATATTCTAGATCCATATGAATTAATGTAGAATAGAATCATAAATACATTCTAGATCCATATGAATTGTTATAGGATGAGGATGTTCTCTAGGGGGCCAGTCAGTTTCCTCCATGAACAACTCCTTTGCTGCCTCACCAACTCACCATGCCTGCCCAGTCTTGGTAGGACGGGCCAGGGCAAAGGGGCATCAACCTGGTGTTCACACACACTCACACTCACACACAGAACTCTGAACTTGTGGTGTTAGGGATTACTGGGGACAGTTGGTCGAAGACGTTTGGTGTGTGTGTGTGTGTGTGTGTGTGTGTTTCCTGTCCCCCTGTCAGTCCAAACCTCCCTGGACCTCTCGCCCCCCCTCCCCTGCTAAAGCCCCCCCTGTGACTCTCTCTCATTGCAGGCAGACAAACGGGCACACCACAATGCACTGGAGCGCAAACGTAGGGATCACATCAAAGACAGCTTTCACAGCCTGCGGGACTCGGTGCCTGCCCTGCAAGGGGAAAAGGTTGGCAGAGAGGTAAACCCAGAAGTGCTTAGGGAGAGGGGATCCTTTGGGGAGGGAAGGGTTGTTTTGCTGTGTGCGTCCAGAGCAATGTATTTAGAGTTGGGGACCTCTTTTTTTTAGTTGGGACCCCTTTTTTTGTGGTCCTCTGTAGCTCAATTGGTAGAGCATGGCGCTTGTAACGCCAGGGTAGTGGGTTCGATCCCCGGGACCACCCATACGTAAAAATGTATGCACACATGACTGTAAGTCGCTTTGGATAAAAGTGTCTGCTAAATGGCTTATTATTATTGTTATTATTATTATTATTATAATTTGGAATATTGTTCTAATTCTAGACATTCAGTTACATAGCATTGTTTAAATATTCCCCATGTAATGTTAATGGGGTGTTAACATGGCTGCCATAGAATGCTGTTGTGTCATGTTAATGCATCATAATGCTCATTCTAGACATGATATCCCCCATGTAATGCATTGTCTTACATCAGGTGGCGTCACTCCTATGCGACGCTCGTCCCTCAACGGGGACCAGTGCAGGCGGAATCGTCGCGCTATCTGACGTAAGACTGCCATGTAACGTTAATGGGGTGCTTACATGGCTGCAATAGAACGCTGTAGTGTCATGTAAAGTGCATCAATGTAGAAGCCTTACACTCTAAATGCATGGCTCTGGGTGTGTCATGGAATTGGCATTCTGAGTGAATGAGATGGGAGTGGGATTTTTGAATGCGATATGGGTAAACAAAGTGAATGTAATTGCATTGCAATGTGTTGATTTAAGATATGTATGTTTATGATTCAATGTGTGCTGTTGCTGTAATTCATATTTCAAAGGTAATGCCACAGAAAATGTAGCTACTTCCTTCAGTGTATTCAGTACATGGGTAGTTATGACAAGGAAGGGAGAGAATGAGAGGGGGAGGGAATGGAGAGTGGACAAGAAGAGAGCGTGCAATCCAGAAATAGTGATGTGTTCTGAACAGAAACACTGGGACACAGGCTAGCGTCAGGAAGTTGTGAGCAAATGTGTTGCTTTTTCCTGTTTTGACATCTCTGACATTGAGGGCAGCGGAGCATGCCCAACAGAGCAGTCCAGGCTATGGTCAGATGCAGAACACTGTTTTTATTATCAAACCAACCAACAAGGCCCTTCCCCCTCCTCTACGGTCGCTCGGTGACCAGATTATGTTTGCTTTCGGACAGGATGGAGAATAGAAGTGATGGATGTTGAAATGAGTCAATGAAAATGGCTGGTCACGTTAAAGGTAGACTCAAGCCAAATGACGTGATCGTACAAAATTGGGTCGCTTCCTGTTTACAGATGCAAGTAGTGCCTCAAGTAAGGGTGCAAACTGTGAAGAGCCAATCATTTCTGTTGTTGATGCAGAGACTGAAGAGAAAGCAAGACATTTCACTGGCTCCTTTTTTCTGGTTCATATACTAATCAATTAATCACATTTTTATTTGTCACATGCCTTGTAAATACACAAGTTACAATAACTTGGCCATATACACGGGGTACCAGTACCGAGTCAATGTGCATGGGTATGAGGTAATTGAGGTGGATACGCTATATATACACAAATGTATGTGGACACCCCTTCAAATTAGTGGATTCGGCTATTTCAGCCACACCCGTTGCTGACAGGTGTATTAAATCGAGCACACAGCCATGCAATCTCCATAGATAAACATTGGCAGTAGAATGGCCTTACTGAAGAGCTCAGTGACATTCAATGTGGCACCGTCATAGGATGCCACCTTTCCAACAAGTCAGTTCATCACATTTCTGCCCTGCTAGAGCTGCCCTGGTCAACTGTAAGTGCTGTTATTGTGAAGTGGAAAATTCTAGGAGCATCAACGGCTCAGCCACGAAGTGGTAGGCCGCACAAGCTCACAGAACGGGACGGCCGAGTGCTGAAGCGCGTCGAAAAATTGCAACCGAGGAGAGACAACACTCACTACCGAGTTCCAAACTGCCTCTGTAAGCAACAACCGCACAAAAACTGTTCGTCGGGAGCTGAAGTGGCCGAGCAGCCGCACAGAAGTCTAAGATCACCATGCGCAATGCCAAGCATCGGCTGGAGTGGTGTAATGCTCGCCGCCATTGGACTCTGGAGTGGAAAAGCATTCTCCGGAGTGATTAATCACACTTCACCATCTGGCAGTCCGACGGACGAAACTGGGTTCGTCGGAGGGCATAGCAGGATTTCTTATAAGCGTCCGGATTAGTGTCCCGCTCCTTGAAAGCGGCAGCTCTAGCCTTTAGCTCAGTGCGGATAGCATAGTCTCAAACGGAGCTCATCCAGTTTATTCTCCAGTGATTGCACGTTTGCCAATAGAACGGAGGGTAGAAGCAATTTATCCACTCTCCGACGTAGTCTCGTCAGGTATCCCGCACGCCGGAACTCTGTAGTGCGTGTCGGGGATTTGAGCCTGGTCCGGGATAATAAGTCTTTCACCTCCAACTCATTGAAGTAGAAGTCCTGGTCCAAATCTAGGTTAGTGATCGCTGTTCTGATGTCTAGAAGCTCTTTTCGGTCACAAACGATGGCGGAAACATTATGTACCATTATGTACACAATTGGTCAGGAGCTGTAAAACGGACTCTATTCCCTCCAGCGCCATTCTGCCTTAGTTCATATACAGTCAATGAACTAAGCAGACCAGACCTAGCTGCTATCACATTGGTGCCTATGAGCGAGCCACCCCTTTAGCAGACCGGAACTTTGACATTTTTCCCCCCAATGGTAAACAGCCTGAGTATCAATCAATCAATCAATCAATTTTATTTTATATAGCCCTTCTTACATCAGCTAATATCTCGAAGTGCTGTACAGAAACCCAGCCTAAAACCCCAAACAGCTAGTAATGCAGGTGTAGAAGCACGGTGGCTAGGAAAAACTCCCTAGAAAGGCAAAACCTAGGAAGAAACCTAGAGAGGAACCAGGCTATGAGGGGTGGCCAGTCCTCTTCTGGCTGTGCCGGGTGGAGATTATAACAGAACCATGCCAAGATGTTCAAAAATGTTCATAAGTGACAAGCATGGTCAAATAATAATCAGGAATAAATCTCAGTTGGCTTTTCATAGCCGATCATTAAGAGTTTAAAACAGCAGGTCTGGGACAGGTAGGGGTTCCATAACCGCAGGCAGAACAGTTTAAACTGGAATAGCAGCAAGGCCAGGCGGACTGGGGACAGCAAGGAGTCACCACGGCCGGTAGTCCCGACGTATGGTCTTAGGGCTCAGGTCTCTCAGTTGGCTTTTCATAGCCGATCATTAAGAGTTGAAAACAGCAGGTCTGGGACAGGTAGGGGTTTCGTAGCCGCAGGCAAAACAGTTGAAACTGGAATAGCAGCAAGGCCAGGCGGACTGGGGACAGCAAGGTGTCATCATGCCCGGTAGTCCTGACGTAAGACATCTTAATTTATCCACCAACGTTGGTTGACGTCTGTGAGCAGGAAGTTGCTCCCGGTTGTGTATGTCACCTTCCTGAGTCTGCCTTTTATTTGGGATATATGGGAAGTATCCATTGATGTAAGTGGTTCAGGAAACAGATTTTAGTATCAGGGTGAATAGTACAATACCAGATCATACTATATTACCAAGGTTTGTGGAGGTATCTGGTGTTCTTGTAGACTTGATTATTACTAGGGTTGTAATGGTACTGTATCATGATAATGAGAGTAAAGACTTTGTGTGGTACTGACTGGGAGAAGCTGGATCAAGGCATGGTTCCAAATGGTGCCCTATCCCCTAGTTCACTACTTGGGGCTCTGTTCAACTCAAAAGTAGTGCACTTTATGAGAATAGGGTGCCATTTTGGATACAGCCTTTGTTTTGAGCCATGAGAAGCTAGAGCAAGTCTATATTCCATGGCGTGGCCCGAGGGGCTTTGGTGGCGTGGCCCGAGGGGCTTTGGTGGCGTGGCCCGAGGGGCTTTGGTGGCGTGGCCCGAGGGGCTTTGGTGGCGTGGCCTGGTTAAGAGAACATTGCACCACCATTGTGACAGTTATTACAGTAGCTGTGCTAGAGGGGTCGAGGACAGTTTTTACAGTAGTTGTGGTCTGGGGATCAGTCAGTGTAGTGACAGTTTTTACAGTAGTTGTGGTCTAGGGATCAGTCAGTGTAGTGACAGTTTTTACAGTAGTTGTGGTCTAGGGATCAGTCAGTGTAGTGACAGTTTTTACAGTAGTTGTGGTCTAGGGATCAGTCAGTGTAGTGACAGTTTTTACAGTAGTTGTGGTCTAGGGATCAGTCAGTGTAGTGACAGTTTTTACAGTAGTTGTGGTCTAGGGATCAGTCAGTGTAGTGACAGTTTTTACAGTAGTTGTGGTAGAGGGGTTAGTCAGTGTAGTGACAGTTTTTACAGTAGTTGTGGTAGAGGGGTTAGTCAGTGTAGTGACAGTTTTTACAGTAGTTGTGGTAGAGGGGTTAGTCAGTGTAGTGACAGTTTTTACAGTAGTTGTGGTAGAGGGGTTAGTCAGTGTAGTGACAGTTTTTACAGTAGTTGTGGTAGAGGGGTTAGTCAGTGTAGTGACAGTTTTTACAGTACCTCTGTCAGCAAATGTGATGTTAATAAGGACACTACAACCTTGCCTTGCGTCATATGAGTTTTTCCTTTGTTGGTGACAGCAATCTATCAAACAGGCGTCCCGAGCTCAGATTCTAGACAAAGCCACAGACTACATCCAGTATATGAGGAGGAAAAACCACACGCACCAGCAGGACATCGACGACCTGAAGAGGCAGAACGCTCTGCTGGAGCAGCAAGGTGAGTATGATTGAGAACCTACCGTACCTACGGACCAACTACCTGTAGTATGATGGAGAACCTACCGGACCTACGGACCAACTACCTGTAGTATGATTGAGAACCTACCGTACCTACGGACCAACTACCTGTAGGATGATTGAGAACCTACCGTACCTACGGACCATGTTTCTGTAGCGTGCGTTTGTCTGCTTATGGGCCAAATTTTGACATCTGACTTTCTACATTTGCCTCTTTCCTTCTCAACCCCTTTCTTTATTCTCCCTCCCTTGCTCCCTTTCCTCCATCCTCTTTCCTTTCCTTTTTCTTCCCTTTGTCTATCTCCCTCCTTTCTCTGTCCTCTCCTTCGCCTTCTCTCTCCCCTGTAGTGCGTGCCCTGGAGAAGGTGAAGGGTTCGACCCAGCTCCAGGCCAGCTACAGTTCTTCAGACAGCAGCCTGTACACCAACCCTAAAGGCAGCGCTGTGTCTGCCTTCGACGGAGGCTCTGACTCCAGCTCCGAGTCCGAGCCAGAGGAACCCCCCGCCCCCAGGAAGAAGCTCCGCGTGGAGGCCAGCTAGAGCGCCGGGCTAGCCCACAGCGTCACTCCTGGTGTGGAGGGGTACTGCGGGCACGGTCTACTGGTCCAGTAGTCAGTACTGCTCCTGTAATTCCCACTACGTTGCCCTCCCTCCCTTCTCTTGGATAGTGAAGAGTCCATCCTACCCTCCTGATCCGTCTATCCTGACGTCCCTTTATCACGCCATCCCCTGGAGGGAGGGAAGCCAGCTGGGAGGAAGAATACTGATTTGGAACATGACGTGCAAGAAAAAAAAAAAAACATTTTCCCCTCCCTCCTTCCTGTCTCTCTCCTTTCCTCTCTTTCTGTTTGACTTCTCAGCATTGGTATCTCTCTCAGCAACGTCAACAACTATCCAAAACCCAAAATTAGGCATTTTCGCTACTTAGATGACTCAATGCTTTTGTACCCTCTACTATGTGTACTCTCCTCCCGGTGGAAAACTACGGAGAGAAGAGAGTGAGGCGTACTCCAAGCACTGCTAAGATATACTTTTTTTAGTTTTGTCTTGATAAGAACCTGTTTTAGAATTTACACACGTCGAGAAGAGTTGTCCTGTCCGTCAGACAGCATACCTTTTTTAAAACATTTTTTTAAACCAACTTTTTTCCACAAAGAATGTGAAGATACTTTGACGCTAAATATTGATGTAAAAGTGAAATGAAATCCCACCTCAGGCCCACAGAATTAGTTTTCCATTTTGACAAACGTTTGTTAGAAATTAAAACAAATATAATCCCCTTTTTGTTGAAAATAATTGATGTTTTGGGAAAAAAACTTGTATCGTATTTCATCCTTTAGCTTGAACTAGTGAATGGCTGAGGAAAAGTTAGGCATCTCAAATGTTTTTTAAATAAATAAAAATGTTATTGATTGTATGTTTTCAAAATATGTTATTCATTTTGTATTATTCTCACAAGTATGGGGAAATACAGATTTGTCACTTGTAGTTTTCCTTCAAGTTATGAAATAGATATTGAATGTCAATGTAGTTCCCATTTTTTTCAATATCAGGAGAAAATGAAGTCCCTGTCAACGTGTTGTGACTTACACAGTAAAATCTTAAATGTCGGCGACTCCCCAAGTGTAAAGAAAGAAAAGAAGCATTCTGCGTGTCTAGGAAATGTGTGTGTGTGTGTTATCTTTTCCATTTTAGAGTATGATTAGTGTAAATAATCTTTGTCTGATTCCATTCCATGGAAATTACAAGTATGTTGTACATACTACCAACAAATGTCTTGCAAGTTGAGGCCTCCCTTTTACTATGAGACTATAAATAAAACATTATTTTATCCTTGTGATTCTGTATTTTGTTTCAGGGTTTCCAGTTAAGTGGACAACATATCCAAACAATTTATAATCTGAAGAAGAAAATGGTAAATGAGTGTCTTTATGAATTACAGATCAAATTGTATTGGTCACATGCATAGTGAATAACAGGTGTAGACAGAGAGTGAAACGCTTACGGGCCCCTCCCCAACAACGCAGAGAGAAAGAGACTAATTACACCAGGAATAAATCCACAATGAGTAACGATAACCTGAGCCGATGTGCAGGAGGTAATTGAGGTAGATATATATATACATTTAGGTAAGATTACAGTGGCTAGGCAACAGTAACCGCAGCGTATGTGACGAGTCAAAAGAGTTCGTGCGAAAAGGGTCAATGCAGATTAGTCCAGGTAGCTATTTGGTTAACTCTTTAAATAACTATTTAGCAGTCTTATGGCTTGGGGGGTAGAAGCTGTTCAGGGTCCTGTTGGTTCCAGGCTTGGTGCATGACATGCAGTTCTGAACAGTTTAAAACCTCTATCTTTCCTACAGAGTTATGAGATGTTGAGTGACAGAACTGCATGTTCCTGTGTTTGCTGAGTGCTGACAGTCCATCCATCCACCTAGATGACTTGATGTTTTTCTGGTTTGATGCAGGTAGCCAGGGCTGCGTTCAGTACGAGAAAATGGTGTGCAACATTGAATTAAATGGAAACGGTACTGTTAAACTCTTATGTTGGCCCAGAGGGCGATTACCGTATGGTGTGTCGCCCGAGTTTTGCGATTTCAAATGGTCACACCCATATTGATCAGGCCACACCCACCAAATAGGAGCAAACATACCTCAAAGCCTGTTAAAGAACGGTGTTTTTGGGGGAAAGTGCCATTCAGTACAAAGCGCCACGCAACGAAGCCAACTGAACACACCCCCAGGTATGTGTCTGGTGTAAATATGACTGATGGAGGCATATATAAATCCTGTCATGTCATACAACTGGTTTCCCCTCGCAGGTATACATAGGGTGTGGCACCCTATTCCCTACATAGTGCACTACTTTTGACCAGGACCCATAGGCCTTTCTTGTCAAAAGTAGTGCACTATGTAGGGAATATACCAATTCAGACACACCCAGTGCATACCTGTATTTCAATGTCACGTTTTGCTAGAGGGCAGTTCTGTTCTGTGAGCTGTTTGATGACAAACTGGCCAACAGGGTTGAAGAACTGCTTACCCTTTGACTTTTCAGAAAGGAAATGGGTGGAGCCAGAGCCATACGTTTAGAGTTGGGCCAACTTTTAGAATTGTTCTAATTCTAGACATTGTTGCATAGCATGCAGTGTTAATGGAGAGCTAACATGGCTGCCATATAATGCTGTAGTGTCATGTTAATGGGGGGCTAACATGGCTGCCATAGAATGCTGTAGTGTCATGTTAATGGGGGGCTAACATGGCTGCCGTAGAATGCTGTAGTGTCATGTTAATGTGGGGCTAACATGGCTGCCGTAGAATGCTGTAGTGTCATGTTAATGGGGGGCTAACATGGCTGCCATAGAATGTTGTAGTGTCATGTTAATGGGGGGCTAACATGGCTGCCATAGAATGTTGTAGTGTCATGTTAATGGGGGGCTAACATGGCTGCCATAGAATGCTGTAGTGTCATGTTTATTGGGGGATAACATGGCTGCCATAGAATGCTGTAGTGTCATGTTAATGGGGGGCTAACATGGCTGCCATAGAATGCTGTAGTGTCATGTTAATGGGGGGCTAACATGGCTGCCATAGAATGTTGTAGTGTCATGTTAATGGGGGGCTAACATGGCTGCCATAGAATGCTGTAGTGTCATGTTAATGGGGGGCTAACATGGCTGCCATAGAATGTTGTAGTGTCATGTTAATGGGGGGGCTAACATGGCTGCCATAGAATGCTGTAGTGTCATGTTAATGGAGGGCTAACATGGCTGCCATAGAATGCTGTAGTGTCATGTTAATGGGGGGCTAACATGGCTGCCATAGAATGCTGTAGTGTCATGTTAATGGGGGGCTAACATGGCTGCCATAGAATGTTGTAGTGTCATGTTAATGGGGAAGCTAACATGGCTGCCATAGAATGTTGTAGTGTCATGTTAATGGGGAGCTAACATGGCTGCTATAGAATGTTGTAGTGTCATGTTAATGGGGGGCTAACATGGCTGCCATAGAATGCTGTAGTGTCATGTTAATGGGGGGCTAACATGGCTGCCATAGAATGCTGTAGTGTCATGTTAATGGGGGGCTAACATGGCTGCCATAGAATGTTGTATTGTCATGTTAATGGGGGGCTAACATGGCTGCCATAGAATGCTGTAGTGTCATGTTAATGGGGGGCTAACATGGCTGCCATAGAATGTTGTAGTGTCATGTTAATGGGGGGCTAACATGGCTGCCATAGAATGTTGTAGTGTCATGTTAATGGGGGGCTAACATGGCTGCCATAGAATGTTGTAGTGTCATGTTAATGGGGAAGCTAACATGGCTGCCATAGAATGCTGTAGTGTCATGTTAATGGGGGGCTAACATGGCTGCCATAGAATGTTGTATTGTCATGTAAATGGGGGGCTAACATGGCTGCCGTAGAATGTTGTAGTGTCATGTTAATGGGGGGCTAACATGGCTGCCGTAGAATGCTGTAGTATCATGTTTATGGGGGGCTAACATGGCTGCCATAGAATGTTGTAGTGTCATGTTAATGGGGGGCTAACATGGCTGCCATAGAATGTTGTAGTGTCATGTTAATGGGGGGCTAACATGGCTGCCGTAGAATGTTGTAGTGTCATGTTAATGGGGGGCTAACATGGCTGCCGTAGAATGCTGTAGTGTCATGTTAATGGAGAGCTAACATGGCTGCCGTAGAATGCTGTAGTGTCATGTTAATGGGGGGCTAACATGGCTGCCGTAGAATGTTGTAGTGTCATGTTAATGGGGGGCTAACATGGCTGCCGTAGAATGCTGTAGTGTCATGTTAATGGGGGGCTAACATGGCTGCCATAGAATGCTGTAGTGTCATGTTAATGGGGGCTAACATGGCTGCCGTAGAATGCTGTAGTGTCATGTTAATGGGGGAGCTAACATGGCTGCCATAGAATGTTGTAGTGTCATGTTAATGGGGGGCTAACATGGCTGCCATAGAATGTTGTAGTGTCATGTTAATGGGGGGCTAACATGGCTGCTATAGAATGTTGTAGTGTCATGTTAATGGGGGGCTAACATGGCTGCCATAGAATGCTGTAGTGTCATGTTAATGGGGGGCTAACATGGCTGCCATAGAATGCTGTAGTGTCATGTTAATGGGGGGCTAACATGGCTGCCATAGAATGCTGTAGTGTCATGTTAATGGGGGGCTAACATGGCTGCCATAGAATGCTGTAGTGTCATGTTAATGGGGGGCTAACATGGCTGCCATAGAATGTTGTATTGTCATGTTAATGGGGGGCTAACATGGCTGCCATAGAATGCTGTAGTGTCATGTTAATGGGGGAGCTAACATGGCTGCCATAGAATTTTGTAGTGTCATGTTAATGGAGAGCTAACATGGCTGCCATAGAATGTTGTAGTGTCATGTTAATGGGGGGCTAACATGGCTGCCATAGAATGTTGTAGTGTCATGTTAATGGGGGGCTAACATGGCTGCCATAGAATGTTGTAGTGTCATGTTAATGGGGGGCTAACATGGCTGCCATAGAATGCTGTAGTGTCATGTTAATGGGGGGCTAACATGGCTGCCATAGAATGTTGTATTGTCATGTAAATGGGGGGCTAACATGGCTGCCGTAGAATGTTGTAGTGTCATGTTAATGGGGGGCTAACATGGCTGCCGTAGAATGCTGTAGTGTCATGTTAATGGGGGGCTAACATGGCTGCCATAGAATGTTGTAGTGTCATGTTAATGGGGGGCTAACATGGCTGCCATAGAATGTTGTAGTGTCATGTTAATGGGGAAGCTAACATGGCTGCCATAGAATTTTGTAGTGTCATGTTAATGGGGGGCTAACATGGCTGCCGTAGAATGCTGTAGTGTCATGTTAATGGAGAGCTAACATGGCTGCCGTAGAATGCTGTAGTGTCATGTTAATGGGGGGCTAACATGGCTGCCGTAGAATGTTGTAGTGTCATGTTAATGGGGGGCTAACATGGCTGCCGTAGAATGCTGTAGTGTCATGTTAATGGGGGGCTAACATGGCTGCCATAGAATGCTGTAGTGTCATGTTAATGGGGGGCTAACATGGCTGCCGTAGAATGCTGTAGTGTCATGTTAATGGGGGGCTAACATGGCTGCCATAGAATGTTGACGTGTCATGTTAATGGGGGGCTAACATGGCTGCCATAGAATGATGTAGTGTCATGTTAATGGGGGGCTAACATGGCTGCCATAGAATGCTGTAGTGTCATGTTAATGGAGGGCTAACATGGCTGCCGTAGAATGCTGTAGTGTCATGTTAATGGGGGGCTAACATGGCTGCCATAGAATGTTGTAGTGTCATGTTAATGGGGGGCTAACATGGCTGCCATAGAATGTTGACGTGTCATGTAAATGCATCATAATGCAGAAACCTCAATGTCCCAACTCTCTAAATATATGCCTCTGGCCGGAACTAGTAGCTATTGAAGATATTCATCTGAATAACTTCTGATTTACTCGGCTTAAACCGCTTTACTCATTGAGGAGCTTTAGGTCGTTCATCCACACACGTTCTGCACCGCACTGGTGGTATGAACATTCATTCACCTCGGTCAGCGGACCACAATGCAACAGTCACAGTACATTCATTTCTGTATAAAGTAAATGACTCACAACCACCCAAGATTCCAACAATTTATACTCAGGGCTTTATTTGGCCAGCCCTGATTTCATTCTCTTATCCCAATACCTTATTTGGCGGTTGGGGACGAGCAATCAACCAGTTTGCTGGATGGACACTTGTAGACAGATGCAGTCCACTTCTCAGCAAGCACACCGCTCAACGTATACAGTGCCTTCAGAAAGTATTCACACCCCTTAACCTTTTCCACATTTTGTGTTACAGCTGGAATTTAAAATGTATTACCGGTACATTTAGATTGTGTCATTGATACCCCCATAATGAAATTAATAAAAAATTATAAGCTGAAATGTCGTGAGTCAATAAGTATTCAGCCCCTTTGTTATGGCTAGCCTAAATAAGTTCAGGAGTAAAAATATGCTTAACAAGTCACAAGCTGCATGGACTCACTGTGTTCAATAATAATAGTTAACATGATTTTTGAACGACTACCCAATATCTGTACCCCACACATACAATTATCTGTAAGGTCCCTCAATCAAGTAGTGAATTTCAAGCACAGATTCAACCACAAATACCAGGGAGGTTTTTCAATGCCTTGCAAAGAAGTAATACTGCAAAAAATGTGGCAAAGAAATTAAAGTTTTGTCCTGAATACAAAGCGTTGTGTTTGGGGCAAATCCAATACAACACACCACGAGTACCACACTCCATATTTTCAAGCATAGTGGTGGCTGCATCGTGTTATGGGTATGCTTGTCATTGTTAAGGACTGGGGAGTTTTTCAGGGTAAAAAAGAAACGGAATGGAGCTAAGCACAGGCAAAATCCTAGAGGAAAACCTGGTTCAGTCTGTTTTCCACCAGACACTGGGAGATTAATTCACCTTCTCAGCAAGACAATAACCTAAATCACAAAGTCAAATCTACACTGGAGTTGCTTCCCAAGATGACGTTGAATGTTCCTGAGTGGCCTAGTTACAGTTTTGACTTAAATCTACTTGAAAATATATGGCAAGACTTGAAAATGGCTTTCTAGCAATGATCAACAACCAACATGACTTTTTTAAAGAATAATGTGCATATATTGTACAATCCAGGTGTGGAATGACTCACATCTGTAAGCACTGCCAAAGGTGTTTCTAAAATGTATTGTCTCAGGGGGGTGACAACGTATCTAATCAAGATATAGGTGTTATTTCACCATTAAAAAAAATAAAATAAACGTTGGAATTTTGTGTACAACAAAATGTGGAAAAAGTCAAGGGGTGTGAATACTTTCTGAAGGCGCTGTATGTTGCCCCAAACCACAGATCTAGGAACACATTTACCCTGAATCCTAAGGGGGATGACAAAAATATCTGATCCTGTATCATCCCAGAGTTATTCATTGCAGTCGTACTGCAAAGGAATCACTGATATATACAAATCTTGCATCCCAAATAACTATTCATGTGATCAAGATAAGCGATTCTGCGCCTCGCCCTTCAACCTCAAATTGACCCCCTCAAATACGCTTATACAGGCATGCCTACGCTGTGAGCACTAGGAGTGGTCAGTGTTAGCGTTGCAGGCCCGAGGACCCCTCTTTCTGTGCAGGCACGGGGACGGGCAGCTGGTGGAAGTGTCGGATGGCCTGGGCTACCTTCTCTGGACAGATGTTGTAGACGGGGTGGCTGGGGGCCTGGAGAGAAGAAAACATACCTTTTTAAAGCCATGCTCTGTAAGATGTGAATTGAGTGGGCCACCAACTAAAATGTAAACAATGGAGCTTTTTGAATGATAGGGTGCCCAGGGTCATGTATGGGAACAGGGAAACTGTGCACTTCAGGGATACACTGTATGATGTTCATACTCATTTAACAAGAAAGCGTGTCCAAATCAGAAAGGGGAGCATGATCATTTTGATCTGGATTAAACATTCCCGAAAACTCCTAGAGCCTCACCAGTCTGTTCTCCTCCTGGCCGACAATCAGCTCGTGGTGCAGGTCCATGTTGCCAAAGTGCTGCGCTACGGACAGACCACTCAGACAGTAACAGGTGTGGTAGAAGTCTCTGGATCTTGAGAAGGAAAGGAAGAGGAGGAATGTGTGAAAGGAGGTTTTCACAGGTTTGGTTTCTGTAATCAACTGGGCGTTTTAGGAAGGTGTTCACTCAGTATCCATCATTATCTCAAGTGTTTCCATTATTTTGGCAGTACCTGTATGTAGTGTGTGTGTGTAGTGTGTGTATGTAGCATGTAAAGAGACCGTGTGTGTGTGTATAGTGTGTTTGTGTAGTGTGTGTATGTGCCCTCAGACGAACCATCAAACAGGCAAAGCGTCAAATAAAGGACTAAGATTGAATCACTACACCGGCTCTGACGCTCGTCAGATGTGGGAGGGCTTGCAAACTATTACGAACTACAAAGGGAAACCCAGCCGCGAGCTGCCCAGTGTTGCAAGCCTACCAGATGAGCTAAATGCCTTTTATGCTAGCTTCGAGGCAAGCAACACTGAAGCATGCATGAGAGCACCAGCTGTTCCGGACAACTGTGTGATCACGCTTTCTGTAGCCGATGTGAGCAAGACCTTTTAAAACAAGTCAACATTCACAGACGGATTACCAGGGCGTGTACTCAGAGCATGCGCGGACCAACTGGCAAGTGTCTTCACTGACATTTTCAACATCTCCCTGACAGAGTCTGTAATACCTACATGTTTCAAGCAGACCACCATAGTCCCTGTGCCCAAGAATGCGAAGGTAACCTGCCTAAATGACTACCGCCCTGTAGTACTCACGTCTGTAGCCATGAAGTGCTTTGAAAGGCTGGTCATGGCTCACAACACCATCATCCCAGAAACACTAGACCCACTCCAATTTGCGTACCGCCCCAACAGATCCACAGATGACGCAATCTCAATCGCACTCCCCACTGCCCTTTCCCACCTGGACAAAAGGAACACCTATGTGAGAATGCTGTTCATTGACTACAGCTCAGCGTTCAAACACCATAGTGCCCACAAAGCTATCACTAAGCTAAGGACCCTGGGACTAAACACCTCCCTCTGCAACTGGATCCTGGACTTCCTGACGGGGCGCCCCCAGGTGGTGAGGGTAGGTAACAACACATCTGCCACGCTGATCCTCAACACCGGGGCCCCTTCAGGGGTGCGTGCTCAGTCCCCTCCTGTATTCCCTGTTCACCCACGACTTCGTGGCCAAGCACGACTCCAACACCATCATTAAGTTTGCTGACGACACGACAGTGGCAGGCCTGATCACTGATAACTGTTATTACACATTTTAGTCATTTTAGCAGACGCTCTTATCCAGAGCGACTTACAGTTAGTGAGTTCATACATTTTTCATACTGGCCCCCCGTGGGAATCGAACCCACAACCCTGGCATTGCAAGCGCCATGCTCTACCAACTGAGCTACACAGGATTATCTATGCATAGTCACTTTACCCCTATCTACATGTATAAATTACCTCGACTAACCTGTACCCCCGCACATTGACTCGGTACCGGTACCCCCTGTAAACAGCCTCGTTATTGTTATGTCATCTTATTGTGTTACTATTTATTTTATTTTTAACTTTAGTTTATTTAGTAAATCTTTTAACTATTTCTTGAGCTGCATTGTTGGTTAAGGGCTTGTAAGTAAGCATTTCACGGTAAGGTCTACACCTGTTGTGTTCGGCACATGTGACAAATAACATTTGATTTGATGTAGTGTGTAGTGTGTGTAGTGTGTGTGTAGTATGTAGTGTGTGTATGTGGTGTGTAGTGTGTGTGTTTGTAGCGTGTAGTGTGTGTATGTAGTGTGTAGAGTGTGTGTGTGTTTGTAGCGTG